ATCATAAAATATAAAAAAGGATACAAAAAGTAAAGCAATGCCACACTTTAATATCCCACAGACACTAACTATTTCTTCTGAAGTAGATTTTTTACTTAGTCACCATTCATTATTAAACCCCAGACAATGAATTACAGGATGTAAACAAGAAAGAATGAAAATTCCCAAGAGTTGATTAGCAAGGATTTTATTTGTTTTTGTAGTTAGACCACAGATTGATATTAGTTAGCCTATGAGTCCCAATCTGCAAGAACTGGCGAGGAATCATGCTCCTGTCGACGCCAAGTAAAATCCTGAGTCGCATCATCCTGGAGAGAATAAAGGACGCACTGGATACAGAACTCCGACCAGAACAAGCTGGATTCAGGAAAGGCAAATCATGCTCTGACCAAATTGCTACTCTACGCATCATCATCGAACAATGCATGGAATGGCAATCAAACCTCCACCTCAACTTTATAGACTTTGAGAAGGCCTTCGACAGCGTTGACCGTGAAGTAATTTGGAAACTACTCAAGTACTACGGCGTACCCCAAATATTCATCAACCTTATTCAACAGCTGTACGACAAAGGCACATGTCAAGTGATCTACAACGGAAAAATCAGCGAGGCTTTTGGAGTAAACACAGGAGTCAGATAAGGGTGCTTATTATCACCAATGATATTCCTAATTGTGGTGGACTGGATTATGCGTCAGACAGTGGGAAATGAGAAGACAGGGATATCCTGGACCGAAATGAAGAACCTAGAAGACCTGGATTTCGCGGATGATTTATGTTTGATGTCACACAAAATCGAAGACTTACAAGCGAAAACCAACAAACTGGTCGAAGAAGCAGCAAAGACAGGACTCCAGGTGAACATAGACAAGACGGAGGTTGTGAAAATAACCAACCAACGACAACAACAGCAACATCCAGCGCCAATCACCATCAACGGGAGGGATTTGAAAGAGGTTACTTCATTCACTTATCTAGGGAGCACTGTCTCAACTACAAGAGGAACGGACGAGGATGTCAAATCGAGAATCGGGAAGGCGAGAAACACATTCATCAACCTGAAACCAATCTGGAAATCTTCGTCACTCAGCCTGCATCAACAACAAAATTCGCATTTTCAATACAAACGTCAAGTCAGTCAGTTCTTCTATACGGATCAGAAACTTGGCGGGTCACAGAGAATATTTATTTCAAACAGGTTGCAGACCTTTATCAACAACTGTCTTCGTTCTATACTCAAGATCAGATGGCCAGAAAGAATGACCAACAAGAAACTACGGGAACAAACAAAACAGGAACCAATTGCCTAACAAATACGCAGGAGAAAGTGGAGATGGATTGGACACTCACTGAGGAGGCCGTTGGGTGACATCGCGCGTCAGGCCAACGCTCGAGTGGAACCCGAAAGGGAAGTGGCGAGTGGGACGTCCAAGGGTGACATGGAGGAGATCGTGTGAAGAATAGTTGAAACAATATGGAATAACATGGATGCAAGTGAAAAGTACAGTAGAAGACAGAAGCAAGTGGAGGCGTGCAGTTGAAGCCCTATGTTCCACTAGGAACCCAAGGGAACAATAATAATAATATGAGTCCCAAACTAAGATGACCAAACAGCTGTCCAGTACTCTCTGGTTTTCAATGGTTCTCTAACTGATATCAATCCGTGGTCTAACTCGAAAAACAAATCAAATCCTTACAAATCAACTCCTGAAAATTAACCTGATGCTCGCTAGTGATAGGTTACAGGATGGAGTTTCCTGGAGTTCCAGTGAGAAGTCGTGACCAGTGAGGTCCATCCAGTCAAGTGTGAGGATGGAGTTCCCACCGATGACATTGGTTGGTGGTCGCGCTGAAATCACGTATCGGTAGAAGTTAGAATTCATGGGCTGGCCATTGAGTCGAGTCCCAGCAGCTGAATGGTCTACGAGCTTGGCTTGTAACCGGAAGGTTCTGGGTTTGAAACTCAGCAGATGAAACAGCTGTTCAGTACTCCCCGGTCTTGAATGGTTCTCTAAATGATTTCAACCTGCGGTCTAACTAGAAGAATGAAAATGATAAACGTGCAAGCATTTTCTCCTCATTTCGATAAGTCAGAGAAGTATTGTAATTTCGCTTTTGAAAGTATGTTGTATTATAAAAGCAGTACATTTCTGAGATAAACATACACAAATGTGTTTAGTGAATTCACTTTTCACTCATAATTACATATCGAGTAAGTTTACATCAAAAAAATCCTACTTTAAACTAATACATTCAATAATTCCAATGAATTATCCACAATACCTGAAATTGTGAAACAGAATATGACAGATTAGGGTCAACGCACAAACTTATGCATGCAGGCATATTCATCTCTCAGACAATATGACTGCTTGAAATTCAGTAGTTAGAGTCTGGTTCAAATTTGTGGACTATTGCTTAGAATTTGAATGTCCAAATCAATCAATAAGCCATAACTCCACAACAAGTGCATACCACCAGCATATATTTTTTCATACTAAAATCTCAGAAGTCTATAAATTTAGAAGAATAAGCGTAACTTTCTAACCCTTCATATACTTCTGTGTTGGACCACAGTGAAATCTTAAGCACAAAAATCAACGGCTACTCCATTTATCAAGTTGACTGAAAAGACTTCAACACAGTCGAATTCTCCAATGATCGACATCGTTGACATCAGATTGACACTTTGTCGGAAGTGTGTGAAGTTCTCAGTAACATTCACAATAAGATTTTCGCTTTACTTTTGGAAACATGAAGATCGTTATCCTTGTTGTCTACATTTTTAATGCCTCGCTTTATGTTGTTATTAAACAAATTCAATGAAAAATCCAAGTGTTGGTTTGAAGGGATTTGATTGGTTTCAGGATCTCATCATAAGCTGACATTAGTAAAAGAACCATTGGAAAAGCTGGAAGAACTGCCAGACAGCTGTTTCATCCCAGTTTGTGACTGTTCGTCAGCATTTATCCACCGCTAGGGTTTGAACCCAGGACCTTCCAGTTATAAGGCGAGCTCGTAGACCATTAAGCCATTGGGATTCAATCCAGTGGCCCATCAATTCTAACTTCTGCCAACTCACGACATAGCGCAACCGCTAGCCAATGTCTTAGGCGAGTATTTGTCCTCACACTCGACCTGCTGCATCCTACTGGTCACGACTTATCATTGGAAGCTAGGTAGCTACCTACCTGAATAAAGTCAGTCACTAGTGAGCATCAGATCTCGTCTTGTAACTGGAAGGTCCTGGGTTCGAAACCCGGTTGCTGCATCCTGATAAGAGGTCCCAAACTAGGACGAAACAGCTGTCGAATACTCCCAGATTTTCTAATAATTCTTTAATTGATACCAGCTCATGAATGAAAAATATTGAGCTCATGATATAAATAAATACAAACTGATTTTACCTAAGCAAATAAGCACAATATTTACAAGTGTAAAATAAAACCTGATTAAAAAATTTCAAGCACAAAGTACACTAAACATCATATATACTAATAGTGAACTTCACTTGTGGAGTTAGTGAGTAGGTGTACACAATTATATTTAAAGTGCTTATATAGAACTTTAAATCGAAGATTCACTTCATTCACTTTTAACCAGCTGAATCAACGATCTGATTCACTGTGTGAATACGTATAGTAAGAAATAGTAATAGAATATGTTTCCTTATGACTAAACAGTCAACGGGCTGACCTTGTAACATGATGGTCCTGAGTTCGATCCTCGGTGGGGTAACAGACGTGTTCTACTGAAGAGCCCTAAGTAGGATGAAACAGCTATCAAGTACATTTTAGTTCTCTAACCAATTGCACATTGGTAGTTTAATGGTACACACTCATCAGACAAATCTGAAACAGCCACGTAGTGCTTTTTACTTTTCAATGCTCCCTCACATAATTTAAATCCATAAATTGAAGGTTGTTCTTTGATTGAACCCTGAGTAGTAAGTAACCAGTGTCATGCGTCTAGTCCTGTGTTTGGTGCAGATTGAATTCTATCAGTCAAGTTTGCAATGTGGCCACCATGCTAGGTGGCTCACCACTACGTTGCACTCAGAAATGTTGTTATTAGGTAGTTGAAGGCAATCTGCAGGATGCGTGGGACTTAAGTTTCGTGCTTATTGGCACCCATCAACAAAGTGTATCTGCAACCTTGAAGGAATTCATGTACCTTCTGAGATTCGAACTCGTGTCACTCAGTGTATGTATTTATGTCCTTATTATCTAAAATAATGTTTGCTGTCACAGAAAAACCTGAATTCCCCAAGTACAGCAATATCCAATATCAATGAGAAAATATGCAGTTAGCATTTCTAGGTAATAAATGATTGGACCTGCGTACTTAACCCTTATAATATGAACAAATGAAACTCAGATTCTGGTCATAAGATGTATGCGCATCAATGTGGAAGATTTATACTAATGTTAGTTGAATTATTGTTATGCTTGAAATTCGTAAAATAAAATGCAGCAATTTTCCTAACAGAGAAAATTAGACATTTTAAACTACTAGTACACGTGAAGAGTGGTCTTAGAAAAAAATTAGGGATTTTTGTGGGGATGTAAAAGTCCCCATATATATATATATATATATATGGGGTTAATAGTAACTGAAAAAATTCGGTGAACACTGGATGGTCGATTTCAATACCAGTCGTCGACGATTGAGAAAATATGTAATTGAATTAAACGCATACAAATGTCTCGTAGTAAAATTACTATTTTACATGGAATGTCATACGTTCGTGATCACTGTTTTACCAGGCACGAATAAAATTAATTTGACTTATTCGCTGAAAGAAATCCATGGCTAAAAATAGGTTAACAACGTTAGATACCTCTTCTTCATAACGAAGCATATGACCAATCAAAAAATAGATTGCCCAGTTTTTGTAACCAATAAGAATTCAGCATTGACACCGATCGAACAATTTATAACAAAATTATGCCAGATAAATTATGGTAAAACTCAATTATCCAAACTTCAAATAAACTCACCAAATTTAAAAGAAGTATTCAACAACTGCTGTGAACAGTTAGTACAATCATTGTTTACGGAATTCGAAGGAGATGGAAAATTAGTTTGTGTGGAACAAGAGCGTTTAGCCACACTTTTACAACAGGCTAAACACACAGCTTTGTATAACAATTGTAAGCATATGAGAAACCCCAAAATACTAGTATTTCCGTATAACTGACTAATATGAAATGCAGCAGTAGATGAAAACCATGTTGGACCGTTAAGCCAATAATCAGGCATATTAAGCCAACAAATTGTACATATCTGTAAATGGAATTTTTAAAAATTTAATTATTCGGTTAATTTTAACTTAATAATACTCAACGGACAATTTCAAATAAAGTACATAAAAGATAAAAACTAGTAACTGCTTAATGAATAAGCTATCACAACAAAATTTGTGTTAGGTTGCTTAGATTTGGATAAGTGGTGTCCTCGTGGAGAGATATTAATTGTTAAGATTTCCCCGACCGATAGCTGTTACCTTGACGCAGTAGTCAAACTTGCATATCACAATGATCCAACGAGTTATACTGACTGGAAGTGATGTTCCTAAAGGTCCTAACATGCCAGAAAAGTCGTTTGGATTGTAGTAAGACAAAAAGTAGTTACCATCATAGCGTAAGTCATTTGCACTATGTTGGGCGTCTGTGGGCTACGTCGAACTGCTGTTCAATGAGGATATAAAAGTAGTAAGGTCCTTCCCTCAAATTATCAGCAAGCCAGCTATGCTGCCTTTCCGTTCTGGACATGGGGGTTAGAAAAGATCGATCACGAAGATCGCATATCCCGACTTACCTTGCAGGTGGTTCACAGCCGACTCCGGAAACCACTTCAAACACGTCATGTATCAAAGATCTCAAGCAGTTTCCCCCTAGGCTCTGAGTTCATGCAATAATAATGCTCCTTATGTTCCAGGTACCTCAGGAAATCAACTTCCATGATGTGGGAAGCCGAGAAATAATAACGGTTCACGCACTTCCATAAGCATACAAAGCTTTCTTAATCACTGCCCACTTTTGTCTGTCTCAGACTTTGAAGTACAGTTCTGTACAAAATTATAAATGCAAAAGGCGTTGATGACTTTATGCCCCAAATTCTAACAACCCTCCACAGAACAGAATGATAAATATGAAGTTCTTACAGAGATATTTTAATATTATTTTACTAATGTCATCGATGACAATACATTGGGACTTAGTCAAAGCAACTTTGTTATAGCCTTTAATTAGAGATATAAAATGCTGATTTTATGACGTATGCTTTTTTCTAATGTATTGTTCAGATTTTGAAATGGTGATTCCAGGCTTAATCAATACACTCATGACATGAGTCAGATTCTCTGCAAAATCAATTTCGTCTTTATCTACCTTTAACGTCACTTTTATTCATAATACCATATTTACAACAAAACTTTCAACAGATAATCACTTGTAAATATACTAAAACAGTAAACGAAAATATAAAGAGAGAATTGTCAACTGAATGAAATACAAATACACAGGGCACTCACTTTATTTGAACCTGATGCAAAATGAGGGCAATTCATACATGCGCTGGTCCACAAAAGATTTGGTCCATGACCTAAATGAATGTCATAACTACTGGATAAATTATTGGAAACAGCACCACTGGTACGTATGTCATATTTTTCCGGAGACTTCTTTTCATAATGAAGGGGATAACCGTAGTGGTATGAAGTATTGTATACAGAAGAAAACTGGTTCTTTTTTGTTTCCCTTGGTTGCACTAAAGTTGTTGTTTCTCCAAAGCTGGGCGTCGTTTTTGGGACACAACCAGTACGTTGTTTACACTCATCTAAACAGTCATTCCCGGTCTCATAGTTATTGTGCATAAACACCTACATTTGAAAAAATCGACATAGGAAGTAAGATGAGAACTAGTATATTTCACTTGCAGGACTTTATGCTGATGATAATGTGACAAAAGCATTTAGTAATTTTGAACTAATGTTCGGTGGATACCTTAAATTTACAAGTCAGTTTTGAGTTATATTTTAGTATTATGATTACTGTAACTCTAGTGGGAAGCATAAAATACTCAGGAGTTTAAAATCATTAAATTTTTACACCAACTGATGTTACAAGACAAAAAGCACTGGAACGTGAAGTGATAAAATTATAAGAAGGACCGAGTCAGCAGAAAAATAAGTAACCAGTGCCACAAAAACAGATGGAAAGTGATTAATAATAGATGATGGATAAATCGCACATAGATCTGCACAATTTCGTATAGCCTCCCTCTTCCTTACATGACAGTAGTTAACTTTATGAAATACGACTTCTCTGTCCGCTAACTGCAATGCTATCTTTAATTTACTATTTTCTTCCACGATACCGACTACGGGTCTCATTCAGTAAATGTTTGCATCACAATCCTCTGAGCTTTCTTTAGATCTTTAGCACGTAATCCTGAGATTGTTCGCTCACTGATTCCATTTGAAAGGCATGTAATAGTAGAAGCATGCAGGAAGGTCCACCAGTCTAAGTTCCCACACTTCCTAAGTCACACAGAAGGAAACAAATGTGGAAACGATACTGTTGTAACTGCAATGGATTAAGGTAAAACCCCGTCGCCAATTTGTTGTAACTGTAGGGGGATTAAATGATGACGTTGTCGCCTTGTTCTGTCTGCGCCTGACTAATATGCCTATCTGCTTCTGGTACCTTCCGATTCAGCGAACCACGCAAATATCAAAAGATAAAGTCTGGTCTCTGACTTTATATTGTAGTACAACAACTACGACTACAACGACAACGACGACTTTTGGTGGCATGCCGAGTAGTGAACGCTTTCGGCTGTGGAAGGATTTGGCGTCGTACGATGATAATGTAGCAAGGATCTATCCAAAATTTCTTCTGTTGTTCCCTCCCCCCTTCGGTTTTGCATAAGCACGCCGGCGTTGCAAGAGAGACTGACCAGATACATGTCCGGGAACAACGTTCTTTGGTGAGGACGAAACATTAGAGCATACTGAATTTAACGGTACATTGAAGATATGGAGCTTGTCTAACCAGTCAAGACCAAGCAAATTCAAATCATGGTAGTTTGTGACGTAACATACACCATTGAACTGATGCTTACCAAACTGAATATGGCACTTTATCTCACCCACGAGTTTCAGTATATCTCCAGAAGCATTCTTAGCGACATGCTCGGTCGGCAGAATCTGTGGGCACCCAAGTTTGCGCCACGTAGTTCGGGAAATTAAAGTGATATCTGATGCCGTATCCAACTGAAGACGAATAGATTTGCTGTTAATACGTAGTGTAATGTACTTACGTTTGCTGGCGAAATCGACTTTGGAAGTTGTGAAAATGGTCTGTATTCGAGGAGATTGTTTCGGCTTGAAACAACTACTTCTGTTCTTCACTGAAGAATTTTTCTGTGGTGGACAGTAACCCTCTTTATGTCCAAAACGGTGACAATTACGGCATTTATGTTTCTTGAAAGGACAGAACTTGACAAAATGCCACGAACCACAGTGCCAGCACACTGAAGGAGGTTTAGCTGAATTCTGAGACTGACGTGCTGTGTGCTTAACGGTGATCGGAGGACTTTTCACTGTGTTAACTGAATCAAATTCAGACGACTGTCGTTTGCACTCCAACGTAGCAGTATCGTGCTTCAAGTTGATTAGGCGTTGGCATTCTGCTGTCACCATTTGTAAAGTCATTTTCGGGTCTTGTTCCACGAGTGACAGAAGTCGAGTTCTTATGTTAGTATCTTCTGGGTTCTTCAACCCACAAATAAAAATCAAACACTTGAACTGATCTGATGTCATTTCGTGTGGTTTGAACCTTTCGCATTCTTTGCCAGCGTAAGTAACATAATCATCGGAAGGTACCAGAAGCAGATAGGCATATTAGTCAGGCGCAGACAGAACAAGGCGACAACGTCATCATTTAATCCCCCTACAGTTACAACAAATTGGCGACGGGGTTTTACCTTAATCCATTGCAGTTACAACAAATTGGCGACGGGGATGGGATCCTATCAGATACTAAAACTGACAAACGAAAATAGGAGTGATAGTCAAAGTAATAGAATTTACGTCAATAAGATATAAATACATCCTTGCCACTGTAAACGACTTCAAGTCATTCCAGCAAGACGTTAGAAAGTTTGAGCAAAGAATATTTTCGATAACTTCCTCGTCTGGCTCTACAGAACTACTGTTACTGCTTATGCTACCTTATACCAATATTGACCACCGTATAACTGCTATTCAAAATCCGAAACTAAGTTTGCACACATATTTAGTATTAACACGTAGTATAAAATTAGAGTGTACAATAATGTCCCATCATCCAGCTGACTGACAGCGTTTCACAAATGATGAATACATTTAGTTCAACATTTAAAACTAGGTGGCTACGTCGGGAACCACCTAGTGACTAATTTTATACACTATATGTATATATAGTATTTTAATTAACCATTGGTGGGGCTAATAGGCAATACCTAAAACACCAGTGACTGAAATATAGCTGAAAATAAAGTGAATTGGTGTTCGAAACGCTATGTCGCCTTCCAAAGCATTTGCTTCGATTCTACTACTGACCTAGCTCTACCCATCGCACATAACTAGCCAACCATCTCAGGTTCTAAGAAGGAAAATCATTGCAAATCACTTGCTATTTTTCTCTCTCTTCCTTATCATTTGTGTTTAGCCTAAGTGACTTTGTAAGTGTAATTTTCTGAATTTTCAGTTGGCTGTTTAAATCATACTCGAGACAAAATAAAACTGGTTTTGCTGACGCAAGCTGATTACAGTCGGTGAATATGTTCAAACATTGAATGAAAACTTAGGCACATGGCGAGGCGATATCATAAGTTCAACAACAAAAAATCCTGCACTGTTATTTGCCCGCTAGAAAAATGCAACTGAAATAATATAGTAGCAGTGGACCATATATACATAATGTTATTTGTTGCTAGGGTCTAGTATTCAATAAGTATTTTACGGAAAAAAATAAACAACTAGCCTATTTATACCTTAAAGCCCCTGTAACAGCCTGAAAAAGACTGAATATGCCTAAATATATTTTGAAAATGAATGCAAATCACGAAAAGTGAACGGACTTACATTCGAACACCATTCAAAAATATTATACAGCCAAAGTGATCCAAGACTGACTAATCCAGCTGCCAAACCCAACAAGAAAACGTGACGTTTGTATGTAAAACCTGAGGTTCAACATAAAAAATTCGGGTAGATATATGAGTGACAAAAATATTTGTAAACGCTTAGAGGCAGATAAAAGTTCTGATCAAACACTAGTAAAATTCAAAATCTTCCAACCAATCAAAAATATCCCTACAAAACCAATACTTGAAAATTAATCTGATGCTCACTAGCGACTGGCCCTATTCAGACAATTAACCTGGAGTTCTAGTAGGAAGCCGTGACCCGTAGAGTACAGCAGGTTGAAGGTGAGGCAGTAACTCATTGAAGAAGAAACTGCGAAGTGGTCGTACTATGTTATGAATCGGCAGAAGTTAGGATTCATGAACTGGTCATTGGATCGGGTCCAAGTGGCTTAGTAGTCTAAGAGCTCGTTATCCCTGGAACCAGAAGGTCCTGGTTTCGACCCCCTGGCGATGGGCACGTGTTGATGAAGAGTCCCAAAATGGGACGAGACACCTGTCCAGTACTCTCAGGTTTTCCAATGGTTCTGTAACTGGTGTCAGCTCATGATGAAATCCTCCAACAAATTCAAAAGTAACTAGATTTACTTTAGTCGTAAGGTAGTTGCTATTATTGTTACGATCGTGTTACTTGAATAAAGTGACCGAGATGAGATAAGTTTTCCACACGCTGAAGAGCGATCTGTGTAAATAGACCGAACCTAGTACCGGCCATCATCTACTTTTATTGTATGCTGGTGACTATTGAAAAATTCAGAATAATTACAGCAAGCGTTCGATATGCCTTAATGGTACGAAAGATAGATGCCAAGGAAATCCGGGGCCAAGCTAGAACCCGGATTTTTATAATAAACGAAGTATTATGAAACATTTACTTGTTTCGCTTAAAGCTGTGGAGAGCCCTGCCGGATCTTCAAATGTCACAAATTATATTACATGACATAGTATAGTATATTATATGAAAATGTATAGTTTAAAATGGAATGCTTAAAACGTCAACCCCAAAACTTGATGAAAATTTAGACGAAGACAAGAAAACCGAGAACATTGGCCGGAAAAATACTAAGAAAATAAAAGTTTTGAAGGATTATTAAGATTATAGGTTTCCAGGCCGTAGGTGTTACGAACTTCCTGGAATTATTTGAGCGCCGAGTCAGATTGATTCATTATAAATTATTTAAATTAATCCCAGCGTGTTAAGAAAAGCAAAACATGATTTTTCTGAACGTTTCGCTGTGTAAGCCACAGCTTCTTCAGCAGGTTTAATGGATAAATAGACAAAGCTTACATTCATTGGCATCTGGTCCTTGAAAAAGTGGCCGGACAGGGATCCGACTTGGTGCAAAGTAGATAGCAACAGACGTGTTAATTCCTCCATTATAAAGTTCCACGTATCGGAAGGTTGGCACACCTAGACACTCCTTTTTGAAGCTTTCCGAGTGCAACAAGCCTAGATGATCCCGTCTCCGCTTATAGAATTCAGTTTTCGTGGGAGCATATTTTAAGTAATCATAGTAGAGACATTGATTACTATTCCTATATATCCTTTGTGCTGTTGCTATTCTCATATCCAGTGAGTAGTTCACATATGTAGTAGATGGTAATTAATTTAAGAAATTAATATTCTTCTGTCTACTGCATATGTGTCAACGGGAAGTAAGACCAAACGCAAAATGCATTAAACAGACGCCCATTTGAAAGTTTGCTAGTTGAGTAATGACCTTCGAAATAGTTAACTATAACACACTTTTAAGTTTGAAAATTTTTGAAGTGAAGACATCCTACATACAACGTATTCTTGTCATCATGTACTTTTTTTGCCTCCGCTACTTTTGAAGTGATTAACTATGAACGTAGACATCACTTTGTCTTGGTATCTTTTATTTGATTTCTTTTTTTGATTTACAGCTTGATTCCACACCGTATTTTCAGTACAAGTATGGAATTTTCAGCATAGATATCGGTTGCCCAAATTCAGGCATACCATAGATATCGGGTGTGCGCCGGCAGGGGATCGAACCCCGGACCATGTGCATGGTCGGTGAGAGTCGTAACCACTGTGCCACCGACGTCATGGCGTATGCGTCTAGCATCCACTCATTCAAGAACAGATTACACAGGCAACAATGCTTATTAGCAGAAGATTAATTCTTCTTTCTAGTTCAAAATATAAATCTGAATCAGTGACTCCGAATAAGAACTAGTACTTTTCTGTATTAAAATCTCTTGACTCTAATATTCTTTTTTTTTTTTGATTTACAGCTTGATTTCCACACCGAATTTTCAGTACAAGTGTGGAACTTTCAGCATGGATATCGGTTGCCCAAATTCAGGCATACCATAGATATCGGGTGTGCGCCGGCAGGGGTTCGAACCCCGGACCATGTGCATGGTCAGCGAGAGTCCTAACCACTGTGCCACCGACGCTTATTTGTCCTTCTTTTTGTTTGAAAAGAGTTGAAGTCATCACATTTCAATTTTAGTCATGCTTTCATTCTATTTTCTTATTACTTCGTGGTGTGAGTCGCATAAATGATGCCTATCGCACGGGAAAAACGCCACATTGTGATGGCGGTAGATACACTTCTATTGCTCACAGATTTCGGCAATAATAAGCTTTGTCTGAAAGCCAGTAGCCCATATATCCTAAATCATTTCTGCGAATGCTGATTCACTTCAGCCAATGTATTGCGTCTTTCCTTGATCTTAGTGCACTGAGACTTCGATTTCCAGTGAAATATCCACTTAGCTATGCCACGAGTCCTCAACAATGCTCTGACCGGCTTACATCCTTGTTAGATCACATGCTTGTTGCTTATCACTCAGAAATCCATATGAATTTCCGACATTTCAGCGCATGAAAATATGGAGTGTCTTTCTTGCGTACGATGATTTAAAGCTTCTCTTGCCAAGATAGAGTCTGTTTGGCATAACCTATTCTGCTCCAAGTTGTGTTAAGAACTTGTAAGTCACCGATAGGCTTCTCTTAATATCATTTACCTGCCTAGATCATGAATTTCCGAAATTCACCATCTAGATTTCATCACACTTCAGACTGACTCACAGAGAAAGATTTTTCATCCCTTGACAGCAGTTTATCAAATTTGATCCCGGGTTACACATATACACAGTAATTCCGCCTGAGTTACTAGGTCTCTGGCACAGTTTTTTAACGAGGTCTTTGTATAAACACATACTTAGTTGAAGTAGGTCAGTTTCTTCAAACTAATTGTCTCTGGAACAGTGGTAAAATTTGAGCTCAAGAGCTATAACTCTAGCTCTTCCTAAGACATAAGCTAAGGCTAAATTAATTGCATCGAGGCTTAGTTGACCAGACATATCCGTGGCACTGTAGGCGATCAAAGTAGTTCGTCTTTAGGATTTCCTAAACACAATATGCTACGGTTACCCGTATGAAGTAAATGATTGAGGAACTAGGAAGAATGAAACGAGTAACTAAATACGGACTAAGTCTTCTGTATGATTTCATCACATTAAACCTTCCTTGGTAAATTTTGTTTTGATACCATAGCAGATGTACTATTACCTCTGCTATTTGGTCTAGTGGTCTTCATTGTTATTTTGACCTTGAATATGTCCTTTTAACTTGACCTAAGTCTTTGTTCTCACCTCTTACCTCGTTATTAATTTCACATAAATTCCTATGACAAATCCGTGTGTGATCAGATTGTTCGAAATGTGTTGCGCAAATACATTACACGATTCTGACAAATTACGTCTTCTTATTGCTTTATCTAAATTCTTTTTACTACAAAATTGCTCACATTTAATCACTGGCTAAAAGTTAGTGGTGTACAATGTTAAAGATAAAGAGAACCTACTTTTTTCATTGAGACGACGTTGAATTATGCTAGATCCATCCTTGTTCAGTATATCTGTATGTTAATGTCTTTCCAATTCAGACAAATCCCTCATGATTGCTTCAGCTGTTTGACGAGCATCTACAGCTGTGTCTACAATCACACCAACAGGACCCCGTTTAATCCATCCAACACAATACATTGGGCTTACAATAAAATCGTATGAAGCCTGAGGTAGATCGACTACACGACCATTGTTATCCTTGCACTGAATAACTCCGTGTTGTTCGTCGAATGGTAAATCTGGATCAATACGGACGCCACGATAACCAATACTACGGACAACTAGACCACATGGCAATAATTCAACAGGCAGACTATTATCCACTACAGCTTTCTGTTGAGGACTAACAGCACCTGCATACCTCTTATTTGTAAAGCTTCTTTTTTGTATTAAATGGTGATTGCCATTTCCGTCCATTTGAATAGGTTTCTGCTTCATTTGCCCTCTGTTGTGCTTTCGGAAGTAAAGATTTAGATACACCTAGCTTTCTGTGATATTACAGGCTGTGAGACTTCAATCTGAGTAGTTATTTTGATAGAAAAGTCTACTTCTAAGCGTCCATTCAAATGAACCTCCGCCATTCCGCTTTCAGTAGTCAGTTTGTTTATTAGTGCTGACCGGGTAAGGTTGAGGACAGTTAGGTTTTTAAGGAACAGAATAGAGGCTATGTGTCGTGGTATGATTGTATATCATTGTACTACTTCCATACCACTGTTAATAAGTACCTCCTTGAGCAGCTGCAGGGGTTACATTCTCCCTTCTCCAGTTAGAATGGTGTTAACAGCAGCCTGGCCACTAGGTTAAATAAGCCAGTCCGAAGAGTCCTCAGGTAGTGTGGCCAAAGCTCATATCTAGCAGGATAGATGACCTCGCGACGATTATGGGCGTTATTTATGGTTGAAGTCAATTGGAAACGACCTCGAAGTCTTTAAGCCGGCCTAACCAGCTGGTTCCTTGGAATAAGCGAGCCCGATGTCATTTATGCTGACTCAGCCTCTTCTTGTCCTGTATCATCATCCAGTGCTTGTCATGTTATATCGTTATATCGTCACGTTTCTTGATACCAGATGCACAGCAGCAATATTCTTGTTAGTCAACCATAATTGTCGCCTGCGTTGCTGACTATTATTCGCAGGTTAGACTTTCTGAAAGCTATTTCAGATCAATCCGATGAAAGCATACAATCTGATTGTATCAAAATGCTGCTGGATGATGGTTACACTCGGAGATAAGGAAGTAACACAGGTGATTTTGGATTCATTTTGATTGTTTTAAATCAGTATTTATTATGCCACCATCATAAGGTTTAGTCTAGTATTCTCTCCAGGCACTTAACACTTTCATATAATTGTTGTAAATTTCATGGTACAATAGGTATGCTGAGATCAGTCTTATCACCCTATTTTTACGCAGCGTGAGCTAGTTTTCTAATTTATACCAAATAATATTCATATGAATGCCGAAGTTATTGCAACATGATAACATGCATTCATGTAACCAAGGTTGATTACAACCTCAGCTTAACATCAACAAGTTGGGTCACACCAAAGAAACATGAAGCTTTAGCCATGCACTAAGAAGCCATTTATATTAATAAATTTATGAGGTGGACCCATGTTCGTAATCAACATTCATCCATCAATTGATTCCGTGTTCATCAAGGCTAACGAAGTCATGCATTTGTAAAACTGCATTTGTTTAGATTATAGGCGTGTGCTGTAACAACATACTAGGTACTTCACTGCCCATTCTACCGATATAATGCCTTATCAATCAACCACATAACTTCAAGCCTAGTAGTCGAGGAAATCTCTCGCAAACTGGGCAGCCTGTAGCACCTTCCCCAACACCTACAACCATGATAAGAATGGATAAAGGATGTGTGTCAGGAGTCACCCTCCCAGTGATTCCAATTCACGCTCTAGCAAATTATGTGCTGATACTGCAACGTTCAAATATACAGCGTTTCCCGCCTATTATCCCACAGTTTGGTGGTCTCACCTAAAGTCAGAGCGACGAGTCTAACACATGTGCGGAATTAAATCATGGAAGAACATGATGGCTGTACGTTGTAGCCTGATCCATCTAACATGGTAGTCAGACTGCTGTTGACAGAGATATACAACCACGCTACAACGCACGGCTGTTATCCTGTTTTCCGAAAATGCAACTTCCCATGATCTAACCCAGCCAGCACAGATAAATAAATTGGCCATTGAAAGGAAAGTGACAGGTATTGTGGCCAGAGCTCAACTCTATCAGGGTGGGTGGCCACATGACAGTCGTGTAATTTCTAGTTGAAGCCGATTAGAAACGAGCCTGAGGCAGTCCAAACAGCGTAACTGACTGCTCTCCTGGAATGCCTTCAACAACCACATGATGATATTGTATGTTAGGGAGTCCGCAATAGAAAACTCGCGAAAACATTTGAAGTGAACACAGTAGTAGAACAATACTGCCTACCATTAACAGTAGTATTCCTGATTGCGGTGGAATAAATCACGCTGCGGATCATAAGGGTTAAGGATACGCGCATATTTTGGATTGTTGGAAGGTCTCCAGAAGGTATGCACTTCTAGCTCAGTTAACCCGCTAGCATCGTTCCAATTACAGGCAAGTGGTACGGAAGGGAATGTAGAAGTCAGTCAGGATAAAAATAGTGTTTATTACTATAGAATCACTGTGAATGTCTACAATTCAGAGCGAACATTTATGGATTCACATTTTCAACATCTGTTGTAGGTTAACAATTTTTTGTGGTGCAGAGACTTGACAAGTTACGAGAAGTATATATTGCAGTTTCTGCCCAGTTGTGAAAACTAATCCTCGCTTGTACGTATGCATTCCATTGACTTTTAGCGATCAAAACGCCACACAAAAGTGCGGAAGCATGCACGAGTTCGATATCAACCATATTCTTCGGTTCCTGCAAAAGAAATAGGTACTGCACAAAAGCTGATAGGAAAATTTACTATCGAGTACAGGTGGCCACCAAGTTGCGAAGAAATTTATTGAAAGACGGTCGTCGAAATGTACGCAAAGCTTACTCGGTGTGCCAAATAACCATTGCATGAACCATATATTTAAGCGTCCTGCCTCACAAGCAATCAGTAAATGCTCAAGAACAATATCGAACAACAATTTTCATATAAATTCATCCAACAAGAGGAAAATAAGCTTCAAAATCACGCTAACTGCGTTTGCCTGGACGACTAGCTCCAACTCGAATCAACTAAGCCGCGCAAATGCCGTCAAGGTAAAGCTAGAGGCGCCACTTCAAATAGGAGACATGCCATATAATCCCCCGCACTTGGAATCTGGAAAGGGATTGGGCACTTATTGAGAAGTCACTGAGGTGAGGTCTCCTAGAGTAAACTGAGTCGAAAGTAACGAATGTGGCTAGGGTTGCAATTTGACATGAAGGAGATCGAGTACAGTGGGAAGACCGACGCTTATGGTGTCAGTAGAAGTTGACTGTGGAGAACAAAGTGGGATGGTGATATACCACTGAGCCCTTGCATTGTACTCGAAAAACGAATAGTGACAGAGAATCATGAAAGAGTAGGGAGGTTATAATCAGGTTTGTATCTACAAAAACATGATATAAAAATTAACACCAATCAGGTGGATGGCATTAACTCTAGAAAAACGATTTCGTGTCCCGTGTTATTATTTACCGTTACTCTCTCCAGTGATCTTTGAGTCTTTGTGGCATACGTACTATTAATGATATTTTCTACCTTTGACAAACTATCAGCGAAAGCAGTAGACAATTCAGCAACCAAAAGTTTCTTTATGGACAAAATCAGTCTAAGAGGCTATGCAGTCACATTTGTTTACCAGAAGTGTGTAGAAGTCTATAATCGAGTAAAAGCGGGTGGCATAATCGATACAAATACTCAGAAGTGGTTTCCAAAGTAAAGAATTACGTAATGTTCAAAGTCGCAATGGAAGAAAGAGCTCAAAATTTGTTAAATTGGAGATCGTATTTCGATGAAAGGTAAGGTATTGGAACATCCACTCATCAAGAAAATGTAAGGCGGGAAGGTTTAGGAGTGGAAATAGTGAAGTACTAATTAAAGGTAATGGCGAATAATTTCAGAAAATAGGTCAGGGACTTCGTCATCCACACGATATCCAAAGGTAAATGTCATTTCAGTATTTCCACCCAGCACGCAGCTACTGAATTCCTTTTTCAGTGAGACCTTATCGGTACTAACCACATCGTAAACAGCTGTCTGACTTCTGTATTTACATTTGTTTCATTTATTCACACTTCTGATTTGCAGTGGTAATTCCATAATACCCATAATTTGCACACTTTAATTTGCACCGTCTACTCAAAATCAAGTAAAAATCCCTCCAATCTTGCGAAACCGATTCTATTTTTTGACTGTCATCACTTAGTCAGATGGTTCCACGAAAGCGAAGGTTCAGTAACATGAACAATAACAGTTTGGATAGATTTAACCGGACAGCAATTTCTGATAAGTCTAATAGTGCAACACAGTTACATATACGCATATTTCTACTGGTTGAAGTTTATTTCATGGAAAACAAATGTCAGAACTTTTCACATGGGAACCCTTACGTGATTTTATGGCCTCCGAAAAGTTTGCATTGTGTGCCTTAGTTTGTTTAGAAGATACTGAATCCAGTACTATTAGAATCTATGAATAATGCGAAATTCCGTTATAATGTGAAAAATACGAAGAACAAGAAGGATTAGTGCCAAATTTAGGTGAATAAATGACACATAATAGGAGAAAGAGCTTGTGTTTAGAATAATTAAAGTCCGGAAACTAACATGAAGCCACAGCAATGAAGAGGGAAAATAAGCGAGCGTCCATATCACTTCGATACGGCTGACGTACTACTGTGGACAGTCGTAAAGGTGGAAGTCGTACCTTTCAATTGCCTTGTATTTCTTTAAAATTTAACTCTTCGATTTTCGCAGTGATCTCATTGATTTACCTGCTGCTTCAGTCCAAAGCAGAGAGTTTGTGAATGAGAGCTTCTTTAATAACCCAGCACATTTTTCTCGACTTAGCGAAAGCTTTAGCTTCCATGTCCCTTTAATTTCTTCCTTGCGAATTATTTGTAACAGCAATCCCTCTCTATCTTGCAATGAACTCTACTTAGAAGGTAAGGAAATTCTGCAGGAAACACAATGCTACCCTATGCTTCATTCACTGGAGTGTCTCTAGGTGCACTCCTAAAGCCACTATTATTCCCGAATCTCATCAGTAATGCATCCAAAATCTTACGTTTATGGGTTTCGCTGGATGCTGCCAATGTGAAGTTTGAAAGGTAGTGGGATTTCTTGACGGGGCTGTTGAGTGCATAAGCATAAGCACACCTTGGATTTCACATGATTAGCTTCCTGAACTAAAATACCAGCAATATGATGGATTAGAATGAAGACCAAATCTATGTTTATTCAGTCACGATTACGAAAATCTTTATCCCCTCAGAAGTAAACATACTACCGAAAGGGAATTATGATGCCTTGTGGAGAACTGAAGAAATGGGGCACATAAGGCAGCAGCGGTATAGGCGTATAATTCAGTATCCACTGGCGTGGCCACAGCAATGCCTGTTGATGACTTTAAAAATCATTTGGACGGTGGTGAGCGGTCAAACTTCTACTCAAGTCTTTTAGTACATTAACCTAGTTCCCTAAGTCTGTACTGAGAATAAAGCCATCCCTTTGATACCTTCCTCGCATTCCACCTGTTTTTTTCTTTGTTTTATCACTGTTTCATCTTGCTCCCCCTCCTACTTTCCTTCATTTTTGTCTTATATATATTATGTTACAACTCACAATAAATTTGTCTGCTAATTTATCCATTTCACATCTGCTTTCCTGAAGTCTGAATTTTCCGGCGCGTTTCAGTGATCTGTGAGATTTTTCAGTGGAACAACAAGTGCAATTTCCATCAGACACATTACTCTGGAGAAAAACTGACTTTGGTCAACTGACGTGTGAAGGTCATCTTAGAGCCGTTTATTCGAAAACTTGTTTTTTAGCATGCAAAACGAATGTCTGGTGGTGGGCATCATAAGAACTGTTCAGAAGTTGTATTTGGAGGTACAGCTACCTTACGGATGTTTGGGTCGAGTAAATATATACGACATAAGCGACAAGTATACAGAACTTTTGAGAGAAACTGCTGAAACGGGTGTCATACAAGTAAAAGTAATTTTTCTCTGACCTGTTTATGTAGGATGACCTCGTTGAACTTTCTGACATGTTCAGAATAGGACAGATTGTAAGGTGCTGTATAAAAGAGGCAGCTGGATCGAATACTAACAAAAGTTATATTGTTTCTTTGAATCCGAAAATGGTGAATAAATCTGTGATAAAGAAGAATGTAAAACCCAATATTATTTTTGTCGGCTCAGTAGTTAGCACGGAGGATCATGGCTACCTATTGGATAGTGGTGTTCCGGGAATGAGTTGTTTTTTGCCTACTGATCAAGCCAGTGGTACGTTTGTTACTATTACTATTCATCCTTCTAGGTACTCTCAGCATTGGAAGCTTAGTCGCATTCACTCCGTATGTATCAGATCCATTGAATTTCATGGGGAATGATCGCGATCGAGTCATTAAAGTAACCACTCATATGGATCCGAAACTTTCCGTGGTTGGTGTTTGAGTTAAATACTAATTGTTATCTTAGTTAAAACCTGACTCGCATGTTCATTTTGATTGCATACTTCCTGGTACATGTGTTAGTGCATCAATTATCAAGAAAGTCACGTCCACTTTGGTTGCCCAATTCTCAGATTACTTGATATCGATTTCACGCACACATTATTCTGGGAAGAAAGAGAATTATCAGGTTGGAAGCAATGTAAGGATTAGTTATTTTGTGTTATTTTGCGAATTATACTATTTCATTTTGTTGCAAGAAATTTTTTTAGTACTCTAAAAGTATCCTAATGCCAGACTGCTTCGCGAGGCCACAACAGTTGGTCAAATTGCCTACGTTAATCATCCTAGTAGTTGCTTCTTTCCATCTGTTGACCAGTTTACGTTTAAGCTGGTATTTAACTATGCATTTCTGGTCAATTTCCCAATGAATCCAAAGTGTGATAAATATGTACTTCTATTGGTTTCGAACTATTCGGACACTATAATCAGTGGACTGCACCAGAAATGCTTCAGCTATTAGTGATATGTGTCGTTTTTTAAATTTAAGACCGATAGTTATTCACAATTAATTTTGTTCCAGCACACAGTAAGGTAGTGATCATTCTGTGTATGCGTAATGCACAAACATGATATATGTTGAAACATTGTCCTGACTTGCTCATTTAGGTCAGTTGTCAACATAAGGTATGAAAAAGTAACAGTGATTTAAGTGTTTCGGTAACCCATATACAAATTCCGACACCTTATTACAAATCACATCTTAATATCATTCTCAAAAGTTGATTTAGTTTTGGACATTCCAAAGTCTACCATGCTGGAAATATTCTCCTAATCACACTGATTTACTGTGACAATAATAGAAATTTGCATAAAAATACATTTAAAGCTGCTACGACTCAAAAAAGCACAATGAGGAGACTGGCTTAAAACATGTGGTTTGGTGTCGTCACCTGTTTACAATCTTCTGTTTTAGGTTGTTGTTTGTATAATAATGGTGGATCCAAGTACAAAACAACTTACAGGCTCTCTGCTTCCTCACTTAGTCAATCCAATCCCTTCAACTTTTGATGTTTCAGAAATGTTCACCAAGTGTGCTGTTGGTACACGCTTCTCAGATGCAGTGGTGAAACGTGTCACGAAACGTGCAGTTTTTGTCAGTCTGCCGAAAACAAAAGGACTAAAAGCAGTTATCAAAGTATGTTATACATTTATCTTGTTTATTTGTTGCCATATTCTTATTAGTCTGTGATCATACCTTGAAATAAGCAAACCAGTTAAAGGGCACTATATCGCTTATAAATAAGAGATGAAGTTATCATTATGAGATTTTTTTGCTCGGTAATCATTTAAAGATATTTGCTTTACAAACTAGAGTATTCAACAGCTTAAAATTCAAATGAGATTTGAAGAAATTTTCGGATTTACAGGTTTGAGGATAAATTAAAACTGGACATATTTTCAAGTTTAGATATAAAAATTTATTCTGTAAAGAAACGAAAATGTTTAGTCTAGGTATTAGCGTATTTGTTTCTTTGTATGGTTCAATGAAGCTAATTATATGCCTCATTATAAATTCCTAGTATCAGTGCAGTTATAGGTTGTACATCCAGCTGAACTCTGTCATCTACGTTAACATAGTGATTAGCCTCCAAATTCAAGACAATTCTCGTACGACTTGGTATACGTAAACTTAACATTTGGAAATTAATAGTGAAGTCAAATTTGAACCAGAATCATTACTGCATAGTTCAAAATGTTTATTACTACATTACTGAGTTACAACATGCTGTTAGAACCTGTAATTTCCTTTTACCTATTTTAATAGCTGGTTTTACTCATTCTTAGTTTATTAGGGACTGAGTTTCAACATAGAACGTTGCACGGAAGTGCACCAGTTTAAGTTGCTGCCTTCTTTTTAGGTAAAAGAGAAAAGATTCACTAGACCTATAATAAGCAGAAATGTGTAAAGGAAAGAATAGCTACATGGAAAAACATGAGGCTTTAATGATTATGGGCGGGGGGGGGGTTGTTACAATTCTCAAAATAAGTGAAGTGGTTTATAAACTCTACCAATTCATTCCGTATCTTTAAGCTAGAAGTGGATGTATTCCTTACGTTTGACAGCAGCGAATCGCATGACAAAAATTCTGAGATTTCTGCTCAAGTCATTCAGAAAACTCTGCATTTTTCAGCGTCTTCATCCAGGAGGATAGTGTCATCCGTATGCCCCAAGTCGATAAGTGTTAGGAGATGTGACCTATCGGTGGGATAGTATTAACAGTAGAAGGAAAGCAAGATGATGAAGGTGAAAGTGTATAATTGTCAGGAAAGCTATATGTGCTTACAGAAATGTGTGGACGTTTATTACTTCACAGGTGCCCACAACATGGTAATTGTTTTCTTGGGGTATCTAAAACAGGACCCAAGAGACAGCTGCGTGGGGCAGGTCACGAAGGACCTCCTCGGCATGGTAGGACCTGTGGGAGCACTAGTTCCAACCAGCGTAGCTCGTTGGGTCATCGCGATATACAAGCTCACTTATACGAATACCTGGGTTTAATCTATCGTAGGTGTATAGCTTTTGTTTGTGATTAGTAGCACAGCATATTCTGTTAAAGAAACTGTTGATTTTCGACTGTATTTGTTCTCATCACATTCCTTTTCAGAAACCTAAAACTGGTCCGAACAAAAATGAATGTTTCTCATCGTTGGTGGTTGATTCAAAAGTGACATGTCGTATAATTGACCATGATTTTTTGGAAAATTTGTCCATAGCTACAGTGAACAAGTATGAAGGATTATTGTTGTTGTGTTGATTTCCTTTTTTTTTCTTGGATATGTTTTCTGACTTCGAAAAATCTTGTTTGATCATGCGTGTAGGATGATTAGAGTCATGATTCAAAGGTATTCATTCGATGATGTGTCAAAGATACTGTTACAAGGGGGGGGGGTTACGATTAGTTTTGTACGTCACATAATCAATCTTTTCACCTGAAGATACTTACAGTTTTATCACCTGATTCGCATCTTTTGATGGCGGTTTTGTCTTATTGCCTTATTTTCACACGATTACCTTGTTGTACATCAGTGAAGATTAGGAATATTAATTTGCTTTCAGTAGTCATAGCATAAAACTATATCGTATAGTCTCATTATCAATTAATAATCTGCTGAAATTCTAGTTTACTATCACTAGAACAGACTTATGGAAATGTAGCTGTAGTAATAAAAGGACGTCAATGTATAATTTATTCACATGATATTTGAGTATTACCCTTGATATTGATTATTTGCTTTCTGAAACCCATGCTGATTATTGTCAAAATGTAATGCGAAACATGAATAGCTTCACCTGTGTCCCATATGGAACTATTCATTTATCCAAAATCGAAAAATGCTGAATGCTAGTCAGTTCCTCTTGTTGTATTATAGAAACGATGGCTGTAACTAATGATGGCTCAGTGAAATATTGAGGCGGTAATATCAGCAGTCACTGCATTGTATTATCCCTATTTTATAATTTATAAGTAGTTGAATTTTATATGCTCGAGATATGTTAGCGTGCTGTAGTAGCTTCTTAAAGGCAATACATTTATTTCTGGTGTGTAGGCATGAACTAGGATACTGTTATGCAATTATCTTCTAACTTTCTGCTTTAATACAATAGATTTCTTTCTTTTTCCAGGAAGTTGCTAGCGTTGCCTTTCCTCTCTCTTCATGAATTGAAAGCAGGTGTTAAGGTGTCCGTAAGTATTTCAATTTAGCAGTAACTCTGCATAGTAGCTTGAGTATTTTTTCTATTTCTACGGATAACTAGTGTGATGTATCAGTTTTTCGTTGTAATAAAGATGTTTTCTGTAAAATTAGTTTAAAATTACTTTAATGTTAATGGATTCGGCGAGAAATACTGGGTTTCTTTTACACTGAGAACATGAGGAATTTTGAGATCAAATATAATATTTACTAGCATTGTAGCATTTAGTCTGTTTATGATATAGTGTATAGCTGTCGCATTCTAAATAATTTACTACCATTCAGGTGACATTCTCCCAGCAATACTGTTATCAAGACTGCAAATCCTTCACTAGATCGAAATCTAACAGTAGTTCTCTGAGACGAAAATGAGTGCCAGGATTACTCATTAACTCAGTGTCATGGTTCAATAGATTTCCACCATTTTTTGTTGTTGTTGGTATACTTCAGTATACACGAGGTGCTGAGTTGAGCAATTCACTGTTTAACAACAGCCTTGAAGTCTGTAATAGTGTATTATACCGTTATGCAGTTTTAAACAAATGTAAAAGTCTTATCTAACAATTTTTTTTCAACCAGCATTATTTTTCCAAGTACAGACAGATATGCAGTAGAGTTATTTTGATTCGCATTAGAATCAAAGTTTAATAAGTGTTGGAACTTAATTCTATTTAAAATTCCTATTTGCAGTTTGCATCTCCATTGAGTAGTTGGTGAAGTCCAGCTTTTCACAACACTACTATTAATAAATAGATGATTGTCAGATGAATTTGAATTTTGGCGTTTAGTCTTTCAGCCATTTATACTACATACATACTACTTATAAGTAGACAAACTGCGGGAGAGAAAATTTTCTCATTTGTTTGCTTTTCGTGATATTTTCGAAATTAGTAACAAGTGATGAATTCTTAGGGTTATTCACAATATTCAGGACCAAGCGTCAACGAAAAGTTGGGTACTAGTCCTCATAAATATGTCGGTTTTCGACACAGAACTTTGCACATATGTGCGGCAGTTCAAGTCGCCACACTCCCTCCTTGTAGCACACAAAGCAAGAGAAGAAAGTAGGAGAAATGCATAATATAGACAGTAAACAGAGGTGTGACACAGGGATAGTTTCACTGGAATTCACAAGGAGTGGATGCATCTGCGCCACTGAGAACGATTTTGAGCCATGTCACCAATTGTTCCCAACCATTGGTTTTTACCGTCGCGAGGACACCAACCAGGAAGTCTACACCTACCTACGTGGCCTAGACTAACTGTTGTAGATTTCATTGACTGGTGCCATGTTTTGGTTTGACCGCCGCTAACTCTTTCCAGCCTGGCCCTATATCAGCTAACATTTCCCGTTTTCAATAGTTTTATTAGTTTGAACGTTATCATTGTTTTGCATATCATTTGGGACTAGAGTAAACAACAGAATCACGTTTCCACCTATCTGGCTGCATCTTTACCACTAAGTATTTCCTCTGAAACATATGTGACTCACTTTGTAATAATGAAGCGTTTGGTGATTAAAATCCCTTACATCTACCGAACATCATTTGAGGAGTGTTTTTAAACCATGACTAGTAAGCTGGTGCTATCATATTTTTGAGCACATAATTTCCCTGGTTGAGACCGTATTGTCTTTTTGATAAATAGATTGTAAAATTTCAGTTATAACTAAGGTTCAATCTACCACTCACTTTGATAAGATGTCTCTTCTATCGATCCAGTGTAGTATACATGTAGATATATATTTCCTTTTCAGGCCTTGATTAAACGCTACGTCAAAAGTGGTATTGCTGTTCAAGTAGAAGGCCGGTTGCATGGTCTAATACCCTACCTACATACAACTGATGTTAACCTCAAAGATCACAGAGAAAAATTTAAAGCGGGCGAAAAGGTTTCATGTTTGGTGAGTTATTTACACACACTTCGACTTTCTAATGTGTTTTTTAAAAGAATTAGTGTTTATGAGGGCAGGTAAAACATCATGTTTGAGTAAATCTTAATGTATATTGATAAAATATTAGACATTTAACTCAGTTTGTGCACATAATAGCTGTATTTTACATCCCAGTTTAATTGTTCTTTGGTTTTTGTTGGTTGTTTCCATGTGTGTTGTCCTGCATTTTTTTTGAGTCGTTCTTCGGAAATTGTACCTGTTGGGTGAAAATTATTTCCCTGGTATACTATGTACTCCACAAGTATTGTTTAGTGATATTTGATTAGTTTTTTTTTGAACTCAAAAAGTTGTCGAAAAATTCTAGATTGATATTATTGTATTTCACAAGTGCTGGACACACACACGTATACAGTGAAATTCCGTATAGGCGATCACTGACAGAGAACCATAGGTAATGCATATTACATCGGATGCAAGCCCTTTGCCAATAAGTAACGAGATTATCTCACAACCCATAGTTTTTTTGTGAAATTGTTTTCAATATATCATTAAAGGTAGTTATGTTCATATTTCATGGAAGTTGACTCTTAGTGCGTAGAACTCTAATTTCAGTGTCTTACTAAGTCTTTCTGTGAATATTTCAAACAAACATTTGTACCATTATGTTAACCGCATGTATATGGTATTTCTAACTTGATGTATTTTTTTTGTAAAGGTTCTTTATGTTGACAAATGTGCCAATAAATTGCTTCTAACTGCAAAACCAGGATTACTAGATTCTAAATTTGCAATCTTTGGCAGTCAAGAGATGCACAATGCACTGGATAATGGAAGCTATAGAGATTCATATTTTACAGGATTTATTGTCAAAGTTAGCGAAAATGGTCTGCTTGTTTCTGGTCTGGAGAATATTCGTGGTTGGATACCGAAACGTGAATGTGGTTTGTCTAGTGAAGATACACTACAAAAGAATTTTTACCGTGGCCAAGTATTGAAGGTGAAAATAAAACGCATATTGAATGTATCCTCAGCGTATAATTCAGAGGATGGTAATCAGTGTACTCGATCGAAGTATTTACTATCTTTACAGGTAAATCTTTTTCGGGGCTTTTATTTCCTTTTATCTGTGATTCTTTTGGTAGGAACAGTGTGTAGTGTCAAACAGTGTAACACTGCAATCACTATCGGATTCATTTAGTAGAAGTTGTTGCCTGCAGTTCGTTATCAAATTTTGGCAATTCAATATCTGACCTGATCTTATTTTTTCAGTTTATATAATTTTGAGTAATCATTTACTAGATTCACTTCGCATTTGCAATTAATTCATGGGTTCACGCAATTAATCTCATATAGAAATTACAATTAGTGTTCAAAAATCTTCCTTTAACGTAATTAATCAGGACCAATATAAGGACATTTACCAACTGTATTACGAGGTTTGACAACAATCAATTCTGAAGTTTCCACATAATATGGCATTGTGTCAACTTCACTCAAGCTGTTCAAATTTTACTTAAAAAATACAAGCTAATTGTGAGGATTGTCAGTCACTTGTCAAGTGTCAGACATCTCTTGATATGTATCTTTATTGGTTCCCCTTATCAGAAATTTAAGGAGATACCAATGATTGTTTGCTGTTGTCCAGCATATCTTGTCCACTTCACTTATTCTGGCCTATGCAGCTAGGTGGTATCATCAACCCTCATACGACAAGTGTGGCTCGTAGTCTTTCACATAAAATATCTGTCCTGGTAACTGAGATCTAACGTAATGAATCTTTTTATTTTATTGGCTAATATACTTCGGTAAAACATGCCACTCATGTTTCTCTCTTGTTGGTTGGTAATCATAACTAGATTTACTGCTGACTCTCTCAAGGTGGTTTATGAAGTATAGCAGCTCTATGTTCAGGGTAAAACACCTCAACTTTTCTTTGCCGATTTTTAAACCATTACTGTCGCAGATGTTTCCTTGTATTTCTTATCTTTGGAATTTTTGACTGTTCTGTACATATTCCTATTAGTTTGTTTATCTCTAACCACGTTCTTATTAATGATTTTGCTTGCTAGTACACATTACCGCTTTGCGATATTTGCCTGTCGAGTTTGTCACCATATACAGTTTCAAATTTGATTGTTTCCCAAATACTGCTGAGAAATGTCAATACAGACTAATTATCCCAGCAGTTGTGTTTACTACATAATTCTACTTATTATATGTAATCTAAAAAGTCCAGCGCGCTGCAATAAATAATCTATAGTGTACCCTCTGATTAATATTCATATCACTTAGAGTTTAGCCTTCTTTTATTCTGCATAAGCTACTGAGTCTGGAGACAGTTACATGGGTAGAACAACTCGGCAAGCCCACTGTCACTTTATGGAGCATTGTCCAACGTGGTTAGCTAGAGGAGTCGTGAAGTCAATTAGAAGTTCCATACTGGCACAATGTGACAATAGTTATTTTCCCCTCTACCCCTACTAGTATACACATGCTACCTGTACACTCACCATTACCTAGATTAAACAAACAATTGAATGAATTTATCCTTGTTATTATTATTATTATGGACCCTAACGAAAAACTTGAAGGATCTGGACTTCGCTGATGATATATGTCTGATTTCCCACAAACTGGAAGATATGCCAGCGAAAAGCAACAAGTTGGCGGAAGAAGCATCAAAGATAAGAAGGCGTTCATGTGAACATAGAGAAAACAGAGGTGATGAAGATTCCTGGGCAACACCACCAACAGCAACAACAACAACAGACAACAATCAGCATAAATGGGAGGAACCTGAAAGAAACAATCTCCTTTACCCACTGACCTGGGAAGCATCGTTTCAACTACAGGCGGAACTGACGAGGATATGAAAGCAAGAATCGCAAAAGCAAGACAAGCTCTCACTACTGTCAAGTCTGTGTGGAGGTCAACAACACTCAGCATCAAAAATAAGATCTGGATTTTCAACTCCAATGTGAAGTCAGTGCTACTATACGGATCAGAGACTTGCACTGTGCGTCATAAAGAGCACTTCAAACAAACTACAGACCTTCATTAACAGTTGTCTTCGCTCAATACTCAAAATCAGATGGCCAGAAAAGATCAGCAACAGGGATCTCTGGCAATGAGCGAACCAACCAGGAACCGATTGTGCAACAAATAGGCAGGAAGAAATGGAGATGGATTGGCCATACTCTGAGAAAACCATCAAGTGACATCACTAGACAAGCCATTGCTCGAATAGAACCCGAAAGGGAAGCGGCGAGTTGGTCGTCAATGCAAGGGTGACTTAGAGGAGGTTATGTGAAGAGGAGATAAAAACGTGTGGGCAGACTTGGAGCCAGGTGAAGACTCTAGCAGAGAACCGAACGCGAAGGAGACGCGCGGCTGAAGCCCTATGTTCCTCTAGGGATTAAAGGAAACAATAATAATTGTTATTATTATTATGATCACCTCGATTGTTATCCATTAATTCACATCCCTGAACTCTGATCCTATATGTTTCATTAAGCACATTAATTTAAATGCCCATGACTAATATTTCCTTTAAATGTAAAGCTTGATGAGAATTTACCGAAAATACGCATTTGCTGAAAACACTTTCTATAATTCTGTATTCTGTTGATCAAATTATCATCATGCTTCAGAATGAATAAAATCTATGGATTTGTGGCGTACACCTTTACCCATGTTTCATCTTATAGTGTAACATTTTTGAGGAGCTATGTTTTTGAGAGATAATGATCACATATGTAGGATATCTTCTTTTAGCTTACTTTATAGTTGTTCATAACTAATGCTCAGTTTATTATTCATTTTATCACATAAATATGCACTCAAACATACCGAATTTTTTTCAAATTTTTATTTTAGTTCAATTCTACTACTAAGAAAATCAAATCTAAAAATAGCTCGGAGTTTTTGCAGTCTGTTGAAGTTGGTCAGGTAATGTTTTAAAGATGTGAACTTTAATCCAGTACTTTTTAAAAACAAGCATCGTTTTTTTTGTTTTGACGGAAGATAATGCTTACCCTTGGGGACTATAGACTATCAACCATAAGCTGAAAAACCAGCTGTTTTAACCACATGTGTATCTAGCAATGTTTATAGCCTTATATATAAGTGTATAGAAAGAGATTCAATACACTTAAAATATTATTCAAGTAAATCAATTTCATCAGTGGTAGAGAAAATTGAAATCCAGATGATGAAAGTTGACTCATTCTTAATCATTTTTTTTATTCCTTTACGTTCTCAGTGGAACATAGGGCTTCAAGCTAGAGGCTTGAAGTTTCGTTAGCAGTGGTGTTCATTTTTATAGGATGGCGTTGCTAGCCGCATGCCCAACCTTCTCTCTTTAACAATCTTATTACTGGCCTAGCGAGGTAAAGGAGTGCGTCGGCCGGGGATCGAACCCCGGACCACATACATGCATGGCTGGCTAGCACTCTACCGCTGTGCCACCGACGCACTTTCTTAACCATTTAGTAGGCTTTTCAAAGTGTATTTGAATAATTCGGAGGATGAAAAAGAAGTATTAGTAAGGGAACCATGAAAACCTGAAGTTTGTTGGGTGATACAAGTTATGTGTGATCTTTGAAATTCAAAGAAGTATTACTATTGTTGTTTAGAATGTCGGTCGGTTTTTGACATAGAACTTTGCACATATGTGCAGCAGTTCAAGTTACCACACTCCATGTAGCACACAAAGCAAGAGAAGAAAGTAGGAGAAATGCATAATATAGACAGTAAACAGAGGTGTAAGACAAAGGAATAGTAATAATGGAGAACAAAACAGTTTCATTGGAAATCATAAGTCACAAGGAGTGGATGCATCTGCGCTGTCATTGAGAACGATTTTGAGCCATGTCACCAATTGTTTCCAACCTTCATTGGTTTTTACCGTCCCGAGGACCCCAAACAGGAAGTCTACACCTTCCTACGTGACTTAGACTAACTGTTGTAGATTTCATTGACTGGAATGTTATTAGTGACTGGTAATTACAGATAAAATCATGTGAAATAATCTTGTCAATATGTGGCGAGTGCTACTGATAAGACTTATCAGTAGTATATGGAGAGACGTTCATCAACAAAAAACATCAAATAGCAGGGAGATACGTTTGATTTCAGAGAAGGCAAATGATACGGTGTTGTGAAGATACATGGGAGACGTGAAAAGAAAACAAAGACACAGTATGAAATCCAGAAGTACCACAACACGAAGATCTGTGCAAATGGTGCGTTGAAGATATGGTATACATAATTTGTCTATATATAGATAACAAATTGCCAAGTCTTCGCTTCTACCGTTACAAATAGACTGATTTTGTTACACATTATGATCAGTTGGGATTTGAATCACCCCATCTGAGGTTTTTTTTTCAAATGTAATCACTGTCTGTGTGAATGAAGAGATTATTTGTGAAAATTGATGAAAACAGTTTCAAGGCAGTTAAATAATTAGATATTTGCTTATCTATAATGCTGTAGTACACACTAATCCTTAAATTTATTTCCTTATTTAGATTTTTAAAGCTACTGTTGACAAAGTAGGCGATATAGGATTAAATGTCAATTTATGCGACAATACAAAGGAATCTGTTGTACTGGGTTCAGGATATCTACCTTTCGTTCAATTATCAGACTATACATCAAATCAGACTCTTTTAACCCAATATATTCATAATTTGAAACTCGGTTCAACTTTGGATTGGAATCAGTTTGAGCATAGTGTTGTTATTATTGGAAAAGACAAAGAGACTGTCACGCTATCCTCCAGGCCAACATTATTGCAGGCTGCTGAAGATTTAAAAGTATGCGTAAATAATGATGAAATAGAAACTGTTGGAAGACCAAGTTTCCTAAGGTCGTTTAACGAGTTACAGGTGAGTTTAGAGTGATGTTTATATTACTATCTTTTGATATCTCAGTAGCATATCATTCACATAAAAATTGGTTTTCCTTGTTCAGTATTTCTAAAATGTTGAGCTAGTCAGTAAAGACGATTATTGCTTAAGAATAGGTATATTAACGCGGGGAATCTGAGAGGTACGGTTTTTGTGGATTTCTGAATAAGTTGAAGAAGTGGTATGCTGTCTCAAGTCATTGTTGACTGACAGGGTTTCAACATAGGACTTTGCACAAAAATTCAGCAGGTCAATTTACTACTCTCTATACAGGACACAAACGTAGAGAAAAGGCAGAAAAAGAGATTCAAAGGAGCCATAATAAACAGAAGTTTGTGTGCGTGTGTGGGGGGGGAGGAAGAAAGAATAGTAACATGGAAAAAACATGAGGGTTTAATGCACATCGGAGATCACAATTGAATCATCTGCATCATTGAGAATGACTTTGAGCCATATCACCAATAGTCTCCGGCAATTGTAGTTTCGGAAAGCACGACGAGGAAGTCGAATCTGTAACAAAAAGAAGTGATGAGACGTTATTTACTATACATAATAAATTATTTAAATTAATCCCAGCGTGTTAAGAAAATCAAAACAAGATTTTTCTGAACGTTTCGCTGTGTAAGCCACAGCTTCTTCAGCAGAATAAATCTGCTTACACAGCGAAACGTTCAGAAATCTTGTTGATTTCTTAAACGTGATTAATTAATAATTCTTATGAATCAATCTGACTCGGCGCTCAAATTATTTCAGGAAGTTCGTAACACCTACGGCCTGGAAACCTATAATGTTATTTACTATAGTTATCATAATCTCTCATTTTATACAGTTATTTTGTTCCATTTTTTGTTCCGTTCATCTTATTGGAATATACAGAATTTAGGGAGACTGTACAATCCTCTTTCCCAATTAACAGCAGACTACATTACTCATACTAGTTTTAATATCTTTGATTTAAGAGATAATAATTATTTTTAATCAATAAAATCGTTAGAATTGTGCACTGGTTCCTTAAATTGACGCGCAAGTGAAGCTTATTAGCCGAAACACTTACATTCCATTATCGGCAGGGAAATCAATAGACGAGACTGTGAAATTACACCGACTGATATGGTTAGGATATGTGCTACGTATGCCTAGTCATCGTCTTCCTCGACGGGCAATGTTAGCTGATATAGGGCCAGACTGCAAACGGTCAAACGAAAACATGGCACCAGTCAATGAAATCTACAACAGTTAGTCTAAGTCACGTAGGAAGGTGTAGACTTCCTGTTTGGGGTCCTCGAACGGTGAAAACCAATGGTTGGAAACAATTGGTGACATGGCTCAAAATCGTTCTCAATGACAGCGCAGATGCATCCACTCCTTGTGACTTATGATTTCCAATGAAACTGTTTTGTTCTCCATTATTACTATACCTTTGTCTCACACCTCTGTTTACTGTCTATATTATGCATTTCTCCTACTTTCTTCTCTTGCTTTGTGTGCTACATGGAGGGAGTGTGGCGACTTGAACTGCTGCACATATGTGCAAAGTTCTATGTCGACCGACTTTCCAAAAATATAGATATCGGCTTCAAAACCCTTCACTATCGTGTTTATCAACAATCAAGTAGTTTTATAAGGTTTTAAGACATGAAATATAGCTGACGCCCTAGTATACACATGAAATCTAGCAATAAATAGTTGATTCTTACTACTATTGCCCAACATTGTTTGTCTACTGGAGAAAAACTAATGTCATGTACCGCAGTTGTATCAGGTAGCCTATAAAATCTGCCTAGCTGAAGAGCGACGATAGGGAGGAAACTTAGGTTCAGTTCTCACTTCTTATTTCCGTACAGTATGATCAGTATACAACCAGATAATTCCTACTTAATTGTAGAGCATCTTATAGTTTACTCATGGAATGCTTTTTTAAGTTGGATATATTACAAATTGTTGGTTTTATTGCACAAGAAACAGATTCTGTAGAATTTATGTAATCTGTCTTGCCTACAGTAATCTATTATTCTGTTCTATTATGATTTGAATATTAACGTGACTGTTGTTCGCCAATTATTTGATTACAATAAATAGTCTGCTCTCATTCTCATTTAATGGAATTATCAAAATGAAATTAGAAGAAATCGTGTGAACACAATATGGTTTAAACCATGAATAACCTTATTCATAAGTAGTAAAAGTTAGAAATTCTTGTACACCAGTTTCTAACTCATCAACTGAATTGGTAATATAAACACACCACCTAAACCGTTAGTCTTTGGCTTGGTGGATTCTTTGCATAATTTTGTAGTTGCGCACTATTGAAGTGTTTCGAACTAAAAGTAAACCAAGTAAGTTCCTCTCCATTCCCCTTTTGTTTCCAGTGGTTGTGTAACTGTTGTCGGACTGTGCTGAAATTCAGCTTATCGGAAGTGTTGAATGGTGTTATTCTTTTTTCAGTTATCCGTAATTGTTACCTAAGGAATTCACTTTCTCCTTTTTTTATCAGATGTGTTTCCAGTTAAATAAGAAAAGAAAAACACTGAATAAATTTGTTTTTACCGACATTACCAATCTGTGTATATCTGTCATATTGATTACTTCACTTACTGGGAAATGCTAAATTACCCGAAGAACTTTTGTTGAGTTGACATGTATAAGATGAAGTTTCGTAAATTCTAGTTCTTACCAGCATTGAATAGAGAAATGTCTGTAAAAATAATCTTGTTATGTTTTCCAGTCAGTGGAGAATACATATTTCTAGTAATAATGTATATCATTTGCAATTAATAGTGTTCTCTGAGCTGGTTGGTTTAGTTGCGAAGCTTTCGTTATCCTTCTGGACAACATCTTCAGCGCCATATTTAGCACAAAGTGAAATGATTTAAATTTCTTCATGAGTGATATAATTGTGTCTCCCGGTAACCATCTTTTCATATGTACTGACCATTTTCTATTGACTTAGATTTTAAACTTTCTGGTCACCTGATTTACTTTTTATTAGTTGGTATATTTCGTCTATATCAACGTGCTTGTTAATTGCATTTTAGCTTGAGAACCAGGCTTCTAGGAATTCCCTGGCACTTTTGGTGTTTTCTCTGTCTAAGATTTTGACATTATCCCAATCAAATTGATGTCCATAATTGTCTATATGCATTGATACTAAAGAATATATATCGTGCCTTTTCACGGTTGATTTGTGTTCTTGGATTCTAATTCGAAGGGGACACCCACTTTGGCCGATGTAATGCTTGTTACAGTTCATACAATTTATTTTGTAAACGGTATCAATTTTATCTCCTTTTTCTGTTGGATCTTTCGGTTTGCATAATATCGAATTAAGCAATTTGACTGGCTTGTGTGCTATATCTATATCAAACGGTTTCAGTACTCTAGCTGTTATTTCAGAGACATTTCTCATGTATGGTAGAATGAATTTTCTTATGGTCTTTGATGATGGTTTTTAGTTGGTGTTTTGGTTTCACTTTAAACACTTTTTCATGAAATTTTGGGGATAACCATTCTTTTAGAAGACCGTTTGTAGGTATTTTTCTTCCATTCTTTTCAACTATGGAGTGCTACAATGTGTCTGAACTCTTTTAAACAATGTCTGCACACAGTTTCGTTTGTGAGTAACTGGATTATTGCTAGTATAGTTGAGTATTTGATCTGTGTGCGTTTATTTACCAAATACTTGTGTTTCTAAATCTCCTGTGTTAGTTCTCCTGATGAAGACATCTAAAAATGGGATTTTGTTATCTAATTCTTCTTCTCTTGTGAATTTGATGTCTTCAAATATGTTGTTTATTAATTTATGGGTATATTCTAAATCATTCCCCTTAATTATCACAAGTGTATCATCAAAGTAACGTACCCAGATTTTCGGTTTAATTATAGGTAGAGCTATTAATTCTAATCTTTGCATAACGGCTTCAGCTATTAGTCGTGATATGGGCGATCCCATTGGTGTTCCTTTTATTTGTTCATATATTTGAGTATTGAATTGGAAGTATGTTGTAAGGCATAATTTTATGAGTTCTATCCAAGTTGATAATTGCGTTTTTATGTTTTCATCACTATAGAGTAATTGTTGCATAGTTTCTGTTGCTAGTTTTGGACTAATTGAAGTATATAATGCTGTGACATCAAAGGACACCATTATTTCATTGTCTTGTTTTTGATTTTCTCTAAAAATTGGATTGACGAATTGATAGAATGGTCGCATGATTCTGTTAGGTAATTTAATTTCCTGAAAAGTTCTTTAGATAGATTATATGTTGGTGTTCCTGGAAGCGAAATGATTGGTCGTAAGGGAATGTTTGGTTTGTGTAGTTTTGGTCTACCATAGAATCGAGGTAAAATAGGTCCGTTAGATTTCATTCGTCATTGATATGGATATCATTTACCAGATGCCTAAAAGTTTTTCAAATCATTAACCTTGAACATGGTTTGAACATTTTTGCCTTCTAATTTTTTGAATCTTTTAACATCTTGATATAATCCTTAGGTCGGAAGTCAATGGTTCGCTTGGGTATCAGACCACAGAGACTATGGCGTTCTAGTCACTTTCCCTTCTGGTGTTCGTGGCTTAGCTCCTAAACATCTTTTATCCGAACATCATCTTCCCGCTGATTCTGATTGGAAACAATTGTTTCCACTTCACGCGACTGTTATCGCTAAGATTGTTGAAGTTGATAAGCAGAAACATCGTTGTTTAATAAGTTTGAAGATGTTTGATATTTACAATGCTGAAGTTCACTATGTGGGTTTGTCAATACGTTCACTGAAGTATTGGTTAACAGAAAGACAGTGGATATCAGACAGGCGTAAGTAAAGCTCATAATGTCATTAAAGTATTCACTTTTATTTTGTGTTTCATGTTCTTGCTCTACTGCTGATTGCATACCGTTAGATTGATTACATAGAGATTTTTTTCCTTCACGTTCTCCAGTGGAACATAGGGCTTCAAGCTAGTGGCTTGAAGTTTCTGTAGCAGTGCTTATTTTACAGGCTGGGGTTGCTAGCCTCATGCCCAACCTTCCCTCTTCACCAGCATTATTTCTGGCTTAGCGAGGTAAAGGAGTGCGTCGGCCGGGGATCGAACCCCGGACCATGTGCATGGTCGGCGAGCGTCCTAACCGCTATACCACCGACGCACATAGAGATTAATGAATGTTTATCTTGGTTTCGTCTGAATAACAATAACGACTTTCGATATTAATCCTGGAGTTAAGTGGTTTACTGGTGAAGCTGCCGCTTATATCAAAATACAGGATCGAATAGTACTACTAGTCTATAGTGACACACAATTGCACTAAGCTACATTCATTTAAATCCCCTTGAAATTACTTGACTATTCATGTGTTTCCCATTAAAGCAGTTGACTGAGTAAATCACACTGTATCAATGTTTGTTAATGCTATTTCATCATTTCTTACGGGTTTTAGTAGATCGATATGCACAAGATTCTTATCTCAGCTGTAAGATCCCTCAATATTTGCTGTCATTTCTCACTCCTACCGCCTTTTAGGGTTTTCAGTCTGTCATCAGATCACTAGTGAGTTCCAAGTGATGGTTTGCAGGGATCTGATTTGATTGGTTACAGGATTTCATCATGAGCTGACATCGGTTAGAGAACCATTGAAAAACCTGGGAGTACTGGACATCTGTTTCGTCCTAGTTTGGGACTCTTCACATCACGCACCCGCCGCCAGGGTTACAAGGTGAGCTTGTAGAAGCCTTGTAACTGGAAGGTACTGGGTTCGACCCCTGTCGGCAGGTGCGTACTCTGGAGAGTCCCAAACTAGGGTAAAACAGATGTCGAGCACTCCCAGGTCTTTCAATGGTTCTCTAACCGATATCAGCTCATGATGAAATACTAGTGAGTTTGTTGGGACTCCACAATTATGTTGTTATTTTAATAGCCCCAAAAAGTTTTCAGTCACCTAAACCAGAGTAGAATAAATAAGTTGTTAGGTAATTAATTTTTAGCAATGTGCTGTTCTGCAAGAAATGATGATATTTGATTAATTATAAAGTAATTCATTCGTTCATCTTTTTTGGTCATTTGTATTTCTGTTATTTTAGACAAATTGTTAAGTTCATTTCGTATTGGCGATCAAGTCCTTTTTGAAGTAAAATCATTGGACAACTCTTTAATCTCTGGTACGGCTTATAAAACATCAAAGAAAAACAAAAACAAAGAGGATTCTTGTGTCCGGGCTATAACTTACAAGGAGAATTCAATAAAGACAGATTGTGTAGTTTCCCAAACGTATCCTGCTATCGTATGCTTCGTTGATCATCAAAAATCTCAACTTGAACTTGTTCTATCTCCATGGTTGGTGAATGGAGTTATGAATCGAAAGGAGAATGTGTCTAGTCAACTCAAGCCTAAACAACAAGTATCTTCCGTTGTACTGGCACAGTACAGTCCAGATATGGTTGTTGTTGGGCTACGTGGTCATGCAGCTGGTCTTTTAGGTGTACTTCCAGCTAGGCGTATTTTTAATGATGTCAGTGGTGCAAATGCCTGGTGTGTTGGTCAACGAAACAAAGTAACTTTTCGTGAGTAAGTATTCACCAAACACTAATTACTTTTAGTTTATTACAAATATTTGTAATTGAAAAGGTATAAATCTAAATTAAGTCCTAGTGTAACGGTAGAAGACAAGAGATTTGCTAAAGTAATGTTTATTTGGAATTCGGTATCTCTATATAGCGAAATTATGTACACCTTATTTCTAAATCGTCATTTGCACAGATTTTCCGTGTTGTGCTACTTCTGCCCTTCGTATTGTGTTTCTTTATCTTCTTTTTGTGTCTTCCGTGTTTTGCCGCAACACCGAATCATTTGCTGTCTTTGACGTCAAATCTATCACTCCACTGTTTGATATTTTTATGCCGATGGACGTCTCTTCATATATTACTGATAATTCTTATCAGTAGCACATGCCTTACTAGCGACTATATTAAAATTTTTATACTTTAACATTACCGGCTTTATAATTAATAAAAAGTAAGGACCGTCCTTAAGTAATGGTGACTTAAAAACTTTCCTTTTTAGCAGGAACGTATGCCAAATAATTAAGACTTCTAATGAAACAAATTTATGCTTGTTTGACATCCTCTACGTTTTGTCCAGTATCTATTACATATTTAACAATGGAACTTTTATGATCCCTGTCTTTTGATGAAAAGCTTACATGGATAGTGTTCATGTACCCGAGACACAGCCCTCTTTATCCTTTCTAGTGAGTGCAGGTAAATTGGCGGATACAATTCAAGGTAACATTCGTTGTATATCTGTCAATTTTCCTCCGTTTTCATGAACAGATCAATATAACTGCTGTTTATTCATCTATTCACTGTCTTCATCAATACAGTTTACTTAAAGAAAATGATGGAACGTAGAAATACAGATTTCCTTTTAAGATTTTTGGTTGTAGGTTTTATTTTTGTTTATAAAATTATTATAACCATTTTCTTTCAACAATCTCTCAATGGTTTCAGATTCTTTTTTCAGTTTACCCCAAGGCATTAAGTTATCCTACCCTATAAAACAGCATCTTGACTAATCCTAACGTAATAATCGTATAACACAAACTATTTACGTCGATATACTATTCTTTCCAGGCTCTTTTTATATGAATGAATCTGACTGACTGGTTTCAACATAGAACTTTACACAGAAGTGCAGCAGTTAGATCTTCCACTCTCCCTCCATGTAGCACAAAGCAAGGGAAGAGAGTAAATAGAGGTTCAAAAGACAGATAATAAACAGAATTATGAGGGCAAAAGAACAGTAATATGGAAGGACAGTAGAGCTTTATTAGATATGATAAGTCACAAAGAGTGAATGCATCTGCACTAGCCATTGAGAACGATTTTGAGCCATATCACCGATTGTCTCCAGCCATTGGTTTTTACCGTCCCGAGGACATCAACCAGACAGCAGTTTACACCTCCCGACGTGACTCGCTTAGACGGACTGTTGTGGATTTCATTGACTGATGAAGCCATGTTTTGGTTTGACGACCACGTGCTAGCTCTTTCTCAACCTGATCCATCCAATGTCAGCTAACATTGGCCATTGTGGAGGAAGGCGATGGCTAGAGATGCATGCGTAACCACCTCAATCGGTGTAACTTCACAACCTCATCGATTGATTTCCCCTCGTTGCTTAGCACTCGACCAATGCCTAACCTGAATATCGCTCACCTTATTATACCACTCAATATGGGAGATAGAATGCAGGCACCTATGATTGAAGACAACTAGTTGGCCTTTTCATGTCTTCAGTGGCCATGTCTCACCGACAGCGATGAAGGAGGACAAAGCGGACTGCTGAGCAGTACACACACCCTTTGGTCGATAGCCAGATATCACGTCTACGCCAGAGACAGCGTAAACTGGCATATGCGAACCAAGCCTTCTGTATCCTTGCTGAGATTTCATCAGTGATCAACCCGTTGGCGTTGTCTGATGCAATTTCCCAAATAAGTCAAGTGGTGGTCAACACGCTCTACTACTTCACTCCTTATTTTTAAGCTAGGAGTCGATTTAGTCCAGGCCTGTAGCATCATCAACAGGAGCGAATCGCATGCCAAACATTGGAAGGTTTCTCCTCAAGGTTTTCAGGAGATTCTGCATTTTTTTACCGTCATCACCTAGAAGGACTATATCATCTGTTATTCCCTGGTAACAAGTCAATCCCTGAGTCGCTGATGTCAGTTAGGGTTACTTCCATTAGTACATCTATGATGAAATTGAATAGAAATGGGGATATTGAGCGGGCATCCCTGTCGGAGACCACTAGTTGTCACCACTTCAGATGACAACTTGCCGTAAGCTCTTACCTGGCTGGTTGCATGAGTTCAAGTAGAGTGCCTCGATCTGTGCAATGTATTTTCTCGGCATTCCCTTTACAGTCGGTCGACGGAATCGAATGCCGCTTTTAGGTCAAGAAATATAACGATAGTTGGACGCCGGTAAGTATGTCTATGTTCTGTCGAAGGGTGAAGATATGATCAATACACCCTTTTCCTGGTCTAAAGCCTGCCTGCCTGATTCTCTCGTGTTTGTGCCTCCCGAGCACCACTTAGTCTACGCATTATTACTGAGCCTAGAAGTTAAGATACCTTATAAGTCCCCCTGTGATTATCACAGGAAGACTTGTCACCCTTCTTGTATACTGGGATAATCAATGAATTAGTCTACGACACAGTCAGTCTTTTTCAGGAAATAAAAGCAATTATTCATTACATTCAAAGGACTCAGTTGTATAAACACAGTATTTACAAGAGTTCACTACAAAGGGGGAAACAGTTTTATAAAAGTTCTGCCACTGAACATGTGACATACTATTAGTTTAGTTTTCTGTTTTCTGAAAGTCAATGTTTTTAGCCTGTGTACACTTGCAAATGCATTGAATTCATCGTATTCAAAACATTGAAGATATTTTTAGTAGTGTTAATGTATTCTTCAAGCTTTCATTGACCTTCTAGACATCATCCACAGTGTTAACTTTAAAATGCAGTGAGTTATTGAAACACTCCATAGGTGAACTAACTATCTCTCCTTATTAACCGTGAATGTAATTGTACTGCTTTTTATTGTTACTGATCGTTTCGTTGATTTGTTCTTTTACATTCTGATCGTATAAATTGGCTTTTTATTAATTGATAAAAATTATACAGTAAGAACACTAAAACTGATTGTCTTGTCAGTGAAATTATTTTGAGGAAATAAATCACACGGAATTATTAATTATGATTTATATTATTGATTGTTCCATTGTTAGGTCCTACAAACAAGATAGTGGCTCAATGGAACTAAAGTTGTGCACGTTGAGTATTTATGATCCTATTGAACAAGATCAAGTTAAACAATCAAAGGAACAAAAGAAAAAGGAGAATCAGGTTAATGCAAAAATCAATGCGGGTTTAAAAATTAGGAGCTGCGTTAGCTTACAACCAGGCGACAGTGTTACTGATTTGTATTTTATTGGTATTTCTTCTCAAACAGCATTTTTTGCAGTTGGTTCAGCTGATGGTCAACATGTTTTATGCCATTTAATCAATTGGGAAAACAGTGTTAAAGCTATCAGAGCATTTCTGAATAATCCACCTGAAATCGGGACAAAAATTGAAAAAAATGCCATTGTTCTATTCTCTCGAATGGAAGATAAACTTATTCCCAAGCGTAGAAGCAAAGGTCTTCGTTCTAAAATGGCTGAAATCTCTTTCTTAGGTAAGCATGTAGTATTTGCAAGTTTGTATCTATAATAGAAAGTACATAATATTTTTATTCGTACGATCATAAATAGTGAATCTTTTTGTAATTTTTTTCCTGATGATTTAGAAGGTTTAGGTGCGTTCTAGTGAAATACAGAACGACATATTTTTTACCGTATAACGAATGTACATTCTCGAGGTCAGTTTTGGTTGACTTTTCAGCGTAGAACTTTGCACAAAAGAGCAGCCTTTGAAGTTATCACACTCCATATAGAGGAAAAAAATCAAAGTAACTATAATGAACAGAAATGTATGGAAAAAAGAAAATGGCGATTTCTTAAAGAGCGAGAGAACGATTTTGTGTCATATCATCATCACCAGTTTCCAGCCATAGGTTTTTGGAGTCTCGGAGACCAGTCAGGCAGTCTACACTTCTCATGTGTCTCAAACCAACGATCAAAGACTGCGTGGATATTGACGCTACGTTTTGATTTGATCATCCTTAACTCTATTCCAACCTAATTTAATGTCATCCAACGTTGTTCGACGAGGAAGGTGATTGCTTGGCATGTGAAAAACGTGTCCTACCCATCTCAATCAATGCAAACTGACGACCTCGTTGATTGATTTTCCCTCCCTGCCTAATACTCTCCACCTAACCTCAGTATTTCACGGGAAACAGAAGATAAACTCCTATGATCAAGAACTACTATTAGGCCTCTCCAGGTTTTCCACCTTCACAACCACAAAGGAGGATCGTTATGCAGTAAACACGTCCTTGATAGGGAGCCAGATATCGTGGCTAAGCCAGAGTTGCCGTTAGTTGGCAAGTTCCAAGCGTCAAATTTTTACGCATACTAAGATTTCGTCAACAGTCAGTCCAATAATGATCATACAGATTCGCAAATAAGTGAAGTGGTCAGCAAGCTCAGCCATTCGACTTCCTATTCTTAAACTAGGAGTCGGTGTATTGTATCTCTGCTGTATAGTTTTACATTTGACAGGGGAGGCAATTTTGGGTATTTAGTCAAAGAAGATTGATGAAAAGTAGCTCCATTCACTCTTATGAAGAATCGAGTAAAAAGAGAGAGGATCTAAAGAGATGAGAGCAGAGGTGGTAATGTTCATAATGATGCGTAAAATGGAATTCAGATTTAAAATAGTGGATTTTCTGAGTTTCTGTGTATTAGGTGTTCTTACCTGAAAATAATTTGAAGTCTTCAGCATAGTAGGATAACATAATCTGTGCAACTGATAGATTTTTAAAGTTCCTTACCTTTTTGGCTAAACGTACTCTGGAGCTTTAGTTTGTTGGTGAAGGGATTGGCCTGCTACGTTATCCTTTGGTTATGCTGTCTATATTATAAGTGTGTTCGTTTGTATGCAAGTTTGATCTACTGAAAACTTGACAACCTTGTAAAAGTGACTAGCAGGAACTATATTATGAATCAATAATAGTGATAAATAATATTGTATTTTATGTGTGTCATGTTGAAATGTTTGGTCTGGACGACAGGATTGAATTACTGGATAAATCAATGTTCTCTCTCGTTGTATAGTACATTTCGATGGAATAATAATGATAATAATAATCGCTTCATTAATTCCTAACATTTATTCCGATGTTTTTTTTGTTTCATACCATGTACCATGAAATATAATGATAGATATTATCATTATTGTTCCCTTGGGTTCCTAGTGGAACATTGATTTAATTCGTTTAGCTTTATTTCATTGGTGACGTAAACTTCCGCCCTACTTATCCTCAGACATTATTTTGTATAGGTATTGTTCGCCTGCTGCGTTAAGAAATCTTGGTTGTTAAAGAAATTTTTTTAAATAATTCAGGGTTGAAAATTTTTAATTGTAATGGTTTCATACTACACTTCACGATAACTTTCATAAAGCTGTTACATTAACAATTTCAGTTCAATAAATTCCAATTTGGACAAATGATAGTTAAAACATTCAAATTGAAGAATACTTGCATGTTGTTTTTCTATTCGTTTCCTGAAGTCAAAAGGGATCGTCTCAATGTCTTCTTATAACTTTAGCTGTTGTATCCAAAAGTATATGGTAATCTGTTTGACGGATGTAAAACTGCGAACAATAAAATTATTCAACAAGTATAATTACAAATGCTCAAAATTGTATATCCTGAGAGATTTTATCAACTTGTGGCATACATTATTCACCTGACTTCTTTCATACTTTTTTGAAGTTATTTGCGATGGTATCGTTAACTGTTTCCAGTTTATTTCCCTGCACCTAGAAATAAACAGTTATGTATTATTATTATTATTATTGTTCCCTTGGGTTCCTAGTGGAACATAGGGCTTCAACTGCACGTCTCCACTTGCTTCTGTCTTCTGCTGTACTTTTCACCTCCATCCATGTTAGTCCATACTGTTTCAACTCCTCTTCACACGATCTCCTCCATGTCACCCTTGGACGTCCCACTCGCCAGTTCCCTTTCGGGTTCCACTCGAGCACTGGCCTGACGCGCGATGTCACTCAACGGCCTCCTCAGCGAGTGTCCAATCCATCTCCACTTCCTCCTGCATATTTGTTGGGCGATTGGTTCTTGTTTTGTTTGTTCCCATAGTTTCTTGTTTGTGATTCTTTCCGGCCATCTGATCTTGAGTAAAGAGTGAAGACAGTTGTTGATAAAGGTCTGCAACAGGCTGTTGGAAATATTCTTTGTGACCCGCCAAGTTTCTGATCCGTAAAGCAAAATTGACTTCACGTTTGTATTGAAAATCCGAATTTTGTTGTTGATGCAGGCTGAGTGACGAAGATTTCCAGATTGGTTTCAGGTTGATGAATGTGTTTCTCGCCATCCCAATTCTCGATTTGACATCCTCGTCCGTTCCTCCTGTAGTTGAGACAATGCTCCCTAGATAAGTGAATGAAGTAACCTCTTTCAAATCCCTCCCGTTGATGGTGATTGGCGCTGGATGTTGCTGTTGTTGTTGTTGTTGGTTGGTTATTTTCATAACCTCCGTCTTGTTTATGTTCACCTGGAGTCCTGTCTTTGCTGCTTCTTCGACCAGTTTGTCGGTTTTCGCTTGTAAGTCTTCGATTTGGTGTGACATCAAACATAAATCATCCACGCGCGAAATCCAGGTCTTCTAGGTTCTTCACGTCGGTCCAGGATATCCCTGTCTTCTGGTTTCCCACTGTCTGACACATAATCCAGTCCACCACAATTAGGAATATCATTGGTGATAATAAGCACCCTTGTCTGACTCCTGTGTTTACTCCAAACGCCTCGCTGAGTTTTCCGTTGTGGATCACTTGACATGTGCCGTTGTCGTACAGCTGTTGAATAAGGTTGATGAATATTTGAGGTACGCCGTAGTACTTGAGTAGTTTCCAAATTACTTCACGGTCAACGCTGTCGAAGGCCTTCTCAAAGTCTATAAAGTTGAGGTAGAGGTTTGATTGCCATTATAATGATAGATAAGTCCAAAGTAATTGTAAGGATTGACAACTATTCATGCTAATGATTGATTGTCTTCACTATGTTACAGGTTAGCTGAAATTAGGGACCGTTGACAATTACTGTTATAGGTATGATATACAGACATTTGAGCAATCATTTCTTAAGTATGTTGTAAGAAGAAATTAAAATTCGAAACATTGGAGATATGTCTACTTCTTGAATTACGTATCATCAAGTTATCAAATCGTCCTCCGACCTTCAGGGCTGATGAATGGTTAACGATCAAGTGATACAGCAATAGTGTTGTAGTGGAGTCCTAGAGCATAACACCAGTTCATTAGTGTCTTATTGTATTTCCGTCCCATGAAATTAATAATTTCGTTTCATAATTGAATTATTCATTTGAAGATTACATTGTTCCTGAAAGCGATAACTCTTTCAGTAGTTGAAACTTTTGCTCGGAGTAGTATCTGTGATTACAACAACAAGATATACGAGTGGGAAAACGATGCAGAGTGTCTGCATGTGTTATTGTTTCTGCCACTTTCATAGCTTAGACGTGTTTGATTGTTGAAATATTGGTAATATGTAGTGTGTTTAATGACCTACATGTTGTTGTAAGTCTGTAAAGTTGAATAGTCATTCCCTGATTAAAGTAGACGTCCATACAAGCTGTCATTCTCCAGAGGAGCCGTAGAGAAACAGCTAGCAACCGACAGATATCTCACTCTAGTTTGGGAATCTCCAGCTGTGTGAAATCATGACCCATCAACACGTTAGTGAGTTCGTATTTACTTTGTAAATTTTCATGTGATCAGAAGCGTTTATTTTTCCCTTGACTTCCTATAGCCAATATACCTCACATGTAAGCTTTAGAAAACACGTTAGTCAAACGATTCAGTTATCATTATTATTGTTCCCTTGGGTTTTAAGTGGAACGTAAGGCTTCAACAGCACATCCCCACTTTATCCTACTCTCTGTAATCCTCTTCAGTCGACCCCATGATTACCTATAGTCTCATCTCCTCGCAAGATTTCCTCCATGTCACTCTCGGACGCTCGCCCACCTCGTCGTTTTCCACCTGGGTTCCACTTGAGCGATGCCTGGGCGGATTCATTCGACGATCTCATCGTGTGCCAAATCCATTTCCATTTTCTTCGGAATATTTGTTGACCAATAGGTTTCTGGTTGGTTTGTTCCCATACTTTTTTGTTGCTAATTCTTTCTGGCCACTTGATCGTCATTATGGAGTGAAGACAGCTGTTGATAAAAGTCTGCAATCTATTGGAAACGCTTTCCTGAACTATATACAAGAACTGACTGATTGAACATTGGTGTTGAAGATCTGAATCTTGTTCTTGATGGTGAATGATGAAGGTGTACCTTGCCCTTCCAGTTCTGGGTTTGACGTCTTCATCCGTTCCGCCTGTAGTTGAAACGATGCTTCGTAGATAAGTGAAGGAGGTGACCTCTTTCAGATTTCTCCCATTAATAATGATTAGTGCTGGTTGTTGTTGGTGCGTGGATATCTTCACCACCTCAGTCTTCTCTATGCTCACTCGAAGTCCTGTCTTTGCTGCTTGTCCTGCCAGTTTTTTGGTTTCCACGTGTAAGTCTTCGAGTTTTTGTGACATTAGACATCAATCGTCTGAGAAATCCACACATTCTAGAGTCTTTTTATCTGTCCAACGTATTTCTGTCCTCTCGCTTCCATGCACAGTCTGACGCATGATCCAGTCCACCACAATTAGAAATATCATCGGTGATAAAAGACAGTCTTGTCTCACTCCTGTAATTATTCAGTTACTTGTTAGTTATTCCATGCTTAGCAAAATAGTTAATGACTAACAATCACTATTTGTTATATTCATGTTTAGTTCAGTTCATTATTTGTTATTATTTTCCTGTGAAACAGAAAAACCAAATGTGTCCGTTGGACAGTTAACATGCGCCCAGTTATCTCGCTCAAAGGATGATCACTGGACAGTTTTCTTACCTGGTGGTAGTTTTGGATGGTTGCATGTCACAGATATGAATCATTCAGATTTAGAAGTTAAACCTTTGGATTTGACTAAAACGCCTGATGCATCTACACCGATGAACATTTTCAATATTTTCGAAAATTTAAACCAAATCAAACCACACTATTTTATTACATGTCGTATTGTTGGTCAAAAGGAAAAGCTTCCAAATACTATCGAGGATAATAATAATAACCATAACAATAACAGCTTGAATGTGGATCGTAAAAACGAAGTTACGTATTTTGTCTCCAACAAGCTCCAACTGATGTAAGTTTGTGTCTGTATTTACCTTTTCTGATGAGTTCAACTCTCTTTGTCATGTGCAAATGTACCTCTCTGAACTGTGTCGATGGAAAACAATGAGAATGTTTTTCGTTGAGAGAGTTTGGTGGAAAATTAACTATAAAAAGTGTACTGTTATCAATTTAAAAAATTTTGTAGACTGATTTCCTACTTTATATCCAACTTACTCTGCACTACTCTTCTTAATGATGATGATTGTATATTGTCCGAAAGCCAGACCCTTTTCCCTCTTGTGTCATCTATTAACGAATATTTTGGAGACCGACTGACTTGTATCAACATAGGACTTTTCACAGAATTTCAGCAGTTAGAGCTGCCACTCTCCCTCCGTGTAGCACAAAGCAAGAGAAGAGAGTAAAGAGAGGTTCAAAAGACAGATAATAAACAGAATTATGAGGGCAAAAGAAGAGTAATATGGAAGGACAGTAGAGCTTTATTAGATACGATAAATCACAAAGAGTGAATGCATCTGCACCAGCCACTGAGAACGATTTTGAGCGGACGATATAGTCCTTGTAGGCGAGGACGCTGACAAAATGCAGAGACTACTGAACACCTTGAGCAAAATCTCGTATGTTTGGCATGCAATTCGCCCTGTAAAATGCAAGATCATGCTGCAGGATTGGAATTCACCGACCCCTAGATTAGAAATAGGAAGTGAATTGGTAGAGCACGTTGACCGCTTCATTTACTTGGGAAGTACCATCAGCCCCAACGGGTTGATCTCCGACGAAATCTCAGCACGGATACAGAGGACTAGTTTCGCATATTCCAGTTTATGCCGTCTCTGGCGTAGACGCGACCAAAGGGCGTGTGTACTGCTCAACAGTCCGCTCCGTCCTCCTTAATGGGTGTGAGACCTGGCCATTGAGAGCAGAAGACGTGAAAAGATTATCTGTGTTCGATCATAGGTGTCTGCGTTCTATCTCCCGTGTGAAGTGGTATAATAAGGTAAACAATATTGAGGTTAGGCGGGGAAATCAGTCGACGAGACTGTGAAATTACATCGACTGAGATGGTTAGGACATCTGCTACGTATGCCAAGTCATCGCCTTCCTCGACGGGAAATGTTAGCTGACATAGGGCCAGGCTGGAAAAGAGCTAGCGGCGGTCAAACCAAAACATGGCACCAGTCAATGAAATCCACAACAGTTAGTCTAAGCCAGCCACATGGAAGTTGTAGACTTCCTGGTTGGGGTCCTCGGGACATTAAAAACCAATGGTTGGAAACAATTGGTGACATGGCTCAAAATCGTTCTCAGTGGCGAAGATGCATCCACTCCTTGTGACTTATGATTTCCAATTAAATTGTTTTGTTCTTCGTTATTACTATACTTTTGTCTCACACCTCTGTTTACTGTCTCTAATATGCATTTCTCCTACTTTCTTCTCTTGCTTTGTGTGCTACAAGGAGTGGAGTGTGGCGACTTGAAAAGCCGCACATATGTGCAAGTCTTGTCGACCTTACTCAACTCAATACTGCTCATATCACCAGTTTTTTTTTTGATTTACAGCTTGATTTCCACACCGTATTTTCAGTACAAGTGTGGAACTTTCAGCATGGATATCGGTTGCCCAAATTCAGGCATACCATAGATATCGGGTGTGCGCCGGCAGGGGTTCGAACCCCGGACCATGTGCATGGTCGGCGAGAGTCCTAACCACTGTGCCACCGACGCCAATCATTGGTTTTTACCGTCCCGAGGACATCAACCAGACAGCAGTTTACACCTCCCGACGTGACTCGCTTAGACTAACTGTTGTTGATTTCATTGACTGATGAAGCCATGTTTTGGTTTGACGACCACGTGCGAGCTCTTTCCCAAAATGTGATCCATCCAATGTCAGCTAACATTGGTCATTGTAGAGGAAGGCGATGACTAGGCATGTGTAACACATGTCCTAACCATCTCAGTCGATGTAGCTTCACAGCCTCGTCGATTGATTTCCCCTCCTTACCTAGCAGTCGACCAATGCCTAACCTCAATATTGCTCACCCTATTATACCACTTCACACGGGAGATAGAACGCAGACACCTATGATCAAAGACAACTAGCCGGCCTTTTCATGTCTTCCACTTTCAATGATCATGTCTCACTCACAGCCATAAAGGAGGACGGAGCGGAACGCGCTGTCGTGCATTACAGACGTCCTTTGATCGATAACCGGATACCGCGTCTATACCAGAGACGGTGCAGGTTGGCAAATGCAACAAGAGCCTTCTGGGGAATAGAAGTCTGATTCATAGGGATGAAAACATATCATCAGTTGAATTATTTTGAATAAAATTGTTTAGATTCTTTACTGGTGGTTGTTCGCGTGTTTCTTAATCATTGTGTTATAAGCACTATAATAAGTTTCTTGTGTGAATGGGTGACAAGTAAGTTCTTATTCGTGGCTATTTAAAAAATTCATATCATTACTGTGCAGTCGAGTATGCATGTGTTGTAATTACTGTAACAAATGACAATAAAGCCTCGATGAAAAACCGATCAGATTATTTAAACTATATGCATATATATAAAGTACTTTGCTAGTTATTTCTTAATCATAATTTCATGCTATCCTGTTACAAGTTTCATTTTGTATATCATTATTATTTGTTGTACATACTTTTACAAAGAGTATTTTCACTTAATATTTGTCTTATAATAATAGCCGAGATAGTGGGGAAATAACCATTCCTCAGCAACCCACTGGTGAACTACCTGCTTTAAATGTACCAGTTGATGGATTTGTTAAACTGGTCATGTCATCTGGAATTAAACTGTGGTAAGTAATATATATTATATTACTGTATTACTGTATTACTATATCTTTATTAAATCTTTAACAGTCAGTTTTAAAGGAAGAGTGTCCAAATCTTGTATGTAGTTCTGTTTTTGAGTTGATCAATTAAGCTACTGCTCATATTAGTTAGTTTATGTTTCAACATTGATGTAATAAGATCTTGAGCAGATAGATATCATCAAGTAACTGCTTACAACATTATTAGAGAAAATTGTGTGGAATTCAATGGGATGTAGGAAAATATGAATCTATTGACATTTGTTAGAATAGTTGGGATGTATTGTATGTTTTTACGAGTTTGACCATGGATTGATATCAGTTAGAGGACCATTGAAAACCAGGGAGTACTGGACAGCTGTATCATCCTAGTTTGGGAATCATCGATATTACGCATACAATGGGGCTCGAACCCATGGCCTTCTGGTTAGCAGGCAAGTTCGTATACAATTCAGCCACTGGGACCCCACCCGATTCAATTGCCCATGAATTCTAACTTCTACCAATTCGTGATGAGTTTAACGCGACCACCAACCAATGTCATCGGTGGGAACTCCATCCTCACACTTGACTGGATGGACCTCACTGGTCACGACTTGTCACTAGAACTCCAGGAAACTCCATCCTATAACAAGTCACTAGGGAGCATCAGATTCATTTTTTAGTAGTTGATTTGTAAGGATTAGATTTATTTTTACGAATTTGACCACGGATTGATGTATGTGTTAATTTTGGTAATCAACTTCATATCGATGGGCAACTGGATCGGAAGATAAATAATCAGTATTCCAAGACAGTACTAATCTGAATGCCAAGGATATTTGTCTATTGTAAGGTTGAATTTCTCGCTCAATAGAAATATTCTTTGGAAGTGGAATAACCTTTAATTAACTCATTGTTATACTAGGTGTGTTATTGACAATCTTGATCAGTAGACGTGTCCAATTTTCATTTATTATTGTTTTCTACTTATGTAATCTATTTATCTCAAGATTGTACTACAAAGCGTTAACTTTACACTGTCGTATGTCTAATATTGTGCATAAACTACTAGTATTTATCTATGGTGTTTATATTGCTAAACTGAAAGCATTTTGGAAATATTTAATAGGGCTTTTTTATTACTGGTAAAATTTGCTTAACTATAATTTCGTCTTCTTTTAGTTTATCTCGAACAACTGATATTATAGTTCCATTTTCACCGGAGCTTTTAAATCGTCTGAAACAGTGTGGAATCCAATTCAAAGTTGGCGATCACCTTCTCGTTCGGCCGAAATGGTAGGTTTTGTTCTTATATAACTCACATGGCTTATTAAATAACTTTCGTTCTCATAAGTATTTTATTCCTTTGCGTTCCGAGTGGAACACAGGGCTTCAAGCTTGAGCTTCGAAGTTTTTAGTAACAGTGTTTTTTTTACGGAATGAGGTTGCTAGCGCCTCGCTCCCAACCTTCTCTCCTTATCGGGTTTACAACCCTGTCTAGGAGAGGTAAGAGTGTCCGCCGGCCGGGAATCGAACCCCAGACCACATGTGTGTTGTGGTTGGTGAGCATTCTACTGCTAAACCACCGATGCATCGGTATGGATTGATAATTGAAAAGAAAGGTAGTTGAGTATTAGATTGGCTAATCAATCATTCAATTCTATCTAGGATATTTTTCCACAATTGAAACACTTCTTCTTATATGGTCTCATTTTCCTTGAATATTCTGGTCATTCAGGATAATGCTACTGTTCTCAGTCATAATTTAAATAATTTGCTTGCTCGATTATTATTTTTCACTCAAGTAGTTGTATGTATGAGACTAAATTGTGGATGATTTGTGTCTCCCATGGATAAGAAATTTGACAAAGGAAGTATTTTAAGTAAAACAATAACTGTTCAGGTAACAGTTTACCACCTTCGCAGGCACAGATGTCAGTGCACCAATAATGAATGACTGCAGTCGGCCTTTATTGTTTTAACATTATTGTAGACGTTTTCCTCTTATCTCAGTACTTCTAGCTGTCATTTATATCAATACCTGAATAATCTTTCCACATAGTATACTCTTTCATTTGAAATACAACATTTATGAAGCGTCCGAAAACTGAAAATTGTCTAATTGTCCTCTAAAGACATGTTCACATATGCTACTGTAACAACAGAAGACAAGAGTCACGCAAGAGATCATTTATTAATGAAAATCAACACATATTTATAGATTTTAATGTACATTATTGTAGATTGTTGTTAGTAGAAAATACAGTCTTTTGATTAGTTGTTTCTCACAGAAAGTTAACCTTGCATCTCTTTGTGGCTGTGTCAGATCACCCAAATGCTAACTGTATCTGCCTACGCAAAGCCTTTGTTCTCATTTTCTGACCCCCAATATTGGGGACATAAACATTGACGTCAATTACTGTCTACCGACTTTGGCTAGCAGCCAGTTCTCATCACACTACCTGTTTCTTTTTATAGATCTAATTGTTATACAATTTATAGCAGTTATTGTCATAATGTAAGACTTCTTAGTGCGTCCGTGGTCCAGTGGTAGACTGCTTGCCAGCCACACACGTGGTCTAGGTTCGATTCCTGGCCAGCATACTCCTAATTCTCTCTGAGCTAGTAGTGAACCCGGTAAAGAGGGAAGGTTGGGTGCTAGGCTACTGACCGCACCGTGTGAAAACAAACCCACCGCTTGAAGCTCTGTGTTCTACTCAAAATTCAAAGGAATGAAAAAAGACTTCATAACCTATGGGGGGGGGTATACTTTAGGCAGAATATTATTCTACCACATGTTGTTCTAGTTCTAGTTCTCTCGGTTACTTTCCTGAAAGACCAGTCACTGTACAACCGCAAATAGACAGAGTTATCAAATGTTTTCTGCAGCAATAGTATAAGAGAGTCGTATACTCTACTTTTAAGTAATCTATTCATCAGTGCCATGCTAAGGGGATTCTTTTGTCTCTGATCACCGTCTATCGATTTCTCTCAGCGATCCAGTAAAGTGTGTTGAAACTAGTTAGTTTAGAATTAAAACTATACATTTTAAGTTGATGATAAATATTAATACAGAAACCTTGAAGTTAACAAATATTCTTCTCTTATATTCTTTTTTTGTAGTTTAGTCCATGGAAAACTTGTCGGTGAATTGGTGTGCAATAATTCTGCCGGTTGTGAACAAATTCAAGAAAGTCGCATGAATACTCTCCTGGAAAACTTTTTCAAGGAATTTTCTGAACAAATAAAGGCATTACAATCAGAAAAGCCAAAATCGATTGACTTTGTTGATGAAACAGACCACCATCCATCGATGGATGTAAGTCGTTGTCTGAAGTCGTCTGCTGAATCTGATTCAGCAGTTAATCAAAATGATGACGATGATGATGAACCAAAAAAGAAGAAGAAGAAACTCTCCCCTACAAAACAGCAAGAGAAGAAATCACGCAAAAGGAAACTCTCTACTGGTGATGAAACAATTCAGTCATCGAATGACAATAAGGAAACTACAACCAGTCCGAAGAAGGAGGTGAATGCTTCAGGAAAAAAGCGGCTACGTTTGAGTGATAGCAATTCGCAAAACGTGGAACCTTTGGATCAGATGAAAATTGGAGAGAAGGTTAACCATGAATCAACAGTTGATAAGTCTGTAGATAAGTCCTCCCTGCCTACATCATATTGTTCAAAAAAGGACAATGTGTTCTCCAAAAGTTTGATTGAAAAATATCAACAATTTATGTTCCCTGGAGATGTTGTAAAGCCGTCAGAAAATGGAGTAGAGACAAGTGAATCTCTGGATTTTAGTAGTAAACAATTGAATGCCAATACAAAGCATGAAGAAGGTAATTGCATTTTAGTTTTCGAAAGTTATTCATGCTTTTAACCTTTAAATTTTTTTATTTATTCGAATCTCAGATCTCTGACCCGTTTAACCTGCATTGGGGAACTTCACAACAATGGTACTACTAACTATTTTAGCCCACGGGAAGCTTCTTTAATTAGTGATGTACTTGACATGCTACTATTTTTCGACATTTTATTAATCATAAAGCTGTTTATATAATATCACTGAAGGGTTAACTTTCAGTTCTCTAAAAGATCGATATAAAGTCAAGCTTACGTGGATAAGATTTGATTCGACTTAGTTCATTACTTGACAGTTGTTAAAAAGTGTGTAACCATGAAGTTCTCTACGTATATACGTCAACGACGGTGGCATAGCGGTTAGGACGCTCACCGACCATGCACATGGTCCGGGTTTCGATTCCCGGCCGACGCACTCCTTTACCTCGCTAAGCCAGAAGTAATGCTGGTGAAGAGGAAAGGTTGGGCATGAGGCTAGCAACCCCATCCTGTAAAATAAACACTGCTACACAAACTTCAAGCTACTAGCTTGAAGCCCAATGTTCCACTGGGGAACGTGAAGGAAAAAAAATACGTCGACTGCTACCGTCTAATGGTTGTGTTTAATTTTTCAAATAAACTTTGTAGTATTTCTCACGCATCGGTCATGTTATGCTACTCATTCATACGGATGAGTTGCATAAAACTGATAACACTTAGTTCCCTACTTTCGAAGAATCAATTTTAGGGATTGCAGTGACTTGACGCTTTTGGATTATCATTGTCCAAGTTTTTTACACGACTGACCATCATAATGCCTAAGATCCTACGGTACATAGTGATTCACTGCATCTAGGAATAGTAGGCACATTTTGGATCTGCATTCTTTGTTCATAAGAATGCAGAAAACATACATTGAACACTTGTTAAATATTTTGCTGTCATAAGATTATTTTTTTCAATGTATCAATCCAATTTATTCTGTTATGGGAGTGCCTAGTCATAGTGTTGTACTACTCGATGATTCTTATGTTGACCGATGAGAAATTTAAATGCGGTAATTTCCCCTGTCACCATTCGTGTTCAGTTCTATTGTCGATCTGCTGATGGATGATGCATACGACTATGTATCATGTGATATTGTTCCTGTTTGTGCTTCATGAAAGTTGTAGGGTTTCATCGTTTGTATGGAAAACATAACAGTAATTATATATGCTTTCATCATAGGCGTTTCCAAACTACTACTACTACTCTGTGGGAGTCTGAGCATTGTAACGGGAAGATTGTTTGGAAAATCCCTCCTAGCCGATCTAATCACAATACTGACACTTATTTGGACGTTTCAGCTAACTTTGTAATTAATATCCATTTTTCTCCTAGACTGTATATTGCTGTCCCGACATTTGCTTATCATATGTTGGTTTTATCCTTGTTATTTGTTGTTGTTGTTTCTGTTTAATCTCTGATTTTAGTGCTTCTCTTTGTGGTTGTGTGTACATTTATAATGTTGTGGTATGTGTGGTGTGATTTTATTTGAGCGAATCAAGGTCATTCTGACCTTGTACTATCCCCGTTGATGTATGATTCTTGTGGATAGAGTTTTTGATCCCACCTTTTTTGGGAATATTCTACTGGGTTCTAAATATACCTGTCTTGTACTAAGAAACTTAGATTGACTGTATAGCTGCCTAACGGCATTGTTGAGGTAATTTTAAGTTTTTGATGATGTTATTACTGTTTAACGGGACCGCAGAATTGTTCCAAAAATAATCGTCTTTTTGCTGTTTTTGGAGTGTTTCGTGACTGTATATGTGTCTCAAGAAAGTTTTGTCAGCTATACAGTGGAACGTTGAGATCGGTTTCCCATGTTCACACCATAACGGGTCAGTTGTGGTCGCTACAGACATGTCTGCCCTTTCATATCCCTTGATTATTATCATCTTATCTGTTCATCTCATTGCTTCTGAGTGGTTTTAATGTCTGTCGATGAAAATATGGAGCATGGTAATTAATTATATTCTCTTAAAGCAGTCACTTGGCTGGCTGGCTGGATTCAACACAGAACTTGGCACCGAAGTGCAGCAGTTCGAGTTGCCACGTTCCAAATCGCACACAAAGGTAGACAAGAAAATGAGTGAAGAGAATCAATAGACTTTTGACAAGTATAAGAGTAAAACAGAATGAGTAATAGTAGAAAGGAATGTGAAAGATCACAGAGACTGAATACATCTGCGTAAGCCATTGACAACGATTTTGAGCCATGTCACCTATTGTCTCCAGCCATTGATTCTTAGAGTCCCGAGGGCCCCAACCCGGAAGTCTGCATCTCCCTCCCTACCTGACTGACTCAGTTTAACTGTCAAGGATTTCATGGATTGATGCCATATTTTTGTTTGGCCACCACTTACTCTTTTCCAACCTGCACCTATATCAGCTAGTAATGCCCGTCGTGGGAGGCGACGGCTAGGCATGCGCAGCACGTGACCTAACCATCTCAATCTATGTAACTTCATAGCCTCTTCGATTGATTTTCCCTCTTTGCCCAACACTCTACGCCTAACGTCAACACTACTTACCTTATTATACCACCTAACGTGAGAAAGAGATCGTAGACATCTATGATCAAAAACAGTCAACCTTTTCATGTCTTCCGCTCTCAATGGCCACGTCTCACAGCCATAGAGGACGGAGCGAACTGCTGAGCAGTACACAAGTCCCTTGGTTGATAGATAGCCGGATGTCACGCCTACGCCAGAGACGGTGTAAGTTAGCGAAAGCAGCCCGAGCTTTTTGGATCCATGCTGAGATTTCGTCACCAATCAATCCGTTGGTGCTGATACAACTTCCCAAATAGGTGAACTGGTCGACATGTTCTATCACTTCACTCCCTATCACTAAGCTTGGAGTTGACGTAGTCCAGTCCTGTAGCAGCATCTTGCATTTTACAGGGGCGAATCGCATGCCAAACATACGAAGATTGCTGCTCAAGGTGTTCAGAAGAGTCTGCATTTTGTCAGCATCCTCCACTAACAGGACTATGTCGTCTGCATATTCTAAGTCCATAAGACTATTTCCCTGGTAACAAGTCGATTCCTAAGTCGTTAAGTTCAGTTAAGGATGCTTCCATTAGCATATCTATGATGAAGTTAAACAGAAAAGGGGAAAGTGGACATCCTTGACGGACACCACTGGTTGTTATCAATTCAGATGACAATTCCCCACTTACATTCACAACACAAGAAAAGTAACCAAAATAAATTATAAGGGGTGGGGGGGATATATATATTCGTCTTCATTTTATCCGTGACTTTATTTATTAGATTTCTACATCGATGTTATTGAATTGTGCTTCGAATCTCTGTTCTCTGTCCACACATTTATGCATTGCACCCTTTTATGCACAGCTTTAACCCACTCTCTTCACAGCTGTTAATATTGACTGAGATTAGGTGCACAAAAATTGAATCTAGTATCCCTATCTTAGTAACTCATAGATAATTCACCGTCAACAAAATACCATTCAGTTCGTATACAGTGAACAGTTGAACTTCTTTATCAATTTTAAACTCATTTATCTGCTTAGCGTTACGTATATGTTATAATCCTTATTATTCGTTTCAGACACTCAGGTTGACAAAGAATGGCGCCTACGACAAGTGGAATTACGTCAAGCTATGCTTGCTGCATTGACAATTGAACAACAATGTCTTCCCAAGGGTGAATTGCATCCACAGACAAATGAAGAATTTGAATTAGCTGTTCGTAATGCACCGTCAAACGAGGTTTGTTGGATTGCCTACATGACACATGTCCTCTCCAGCTGTACACATCAAAAATGTACAAACAGTGATCTTAACAAAGGAGTTATAAATGCTCGTGTTATTGCAGAGCGGGGATTGAAGTCAATTTCAAATTCGCCTGGTGTAAATCAACTTGTGAAACAATCTCGTCTACTGACTTCCTATTTGATCATGGAGGCTAAAGAGTTGGAACGGCTAACCACTATTCAGAAGCAACAACAGTATCATATGTCTGCATCTTCTGTAACATCTATGTCAGATTTAGTATTGGAGGTTAATAACCAGTCGAAACGTGTCTCGCAGTTGCTTACACAACTGCTCAATTTAGATCAAGCTCCGTTTATTCGCAGAGCGATTGACACTCTTTCGGATATTGGTCATCATACGGTAGGTTGTGCTTATTTTACACAAATCTTGAGGTTAACTAGTTTTCATGTAAGTATGGAACTTGGGCACTGTGGTAAAATATAATTCCATATTGTATGAGTTTATTTGATATGACCTACAGTGATACAGTATTGATGACTGGATGACGTTTCGAGCACACTGTATTGCTCATTGATATGATTATTGGCAAAAATTGTGTTCGAAACGTCATTCAGTTATCATTACTGTATCATTGTGTGTTATATCAAATAAACTTATCTAACATAGAATTCACTAGCCTTCAACTGAAGCTATTAATTTCGTTTTATGTCGTATATCTCAGCAGCTCTTTGTTTAGCCTTGGAAAATGTGCTTATTCGTTATCGAACAATACAATGCTCTAAATTCGATCAATGTTTCTAAGCTAAATGCGCCTAAGTCGAACTCTATGACCACACTATGGTGGACGTTTGTTTTGTTTATGGGTATTGGGCTCCATTCAACAAAATCTCAGCACTTATGTGAACTCTTCAGCAGGGCGTATCTGCAACTTTGAGGGAACTTGTGTCTTCTATGGTTTTAACCTGAACTATAGTGGTAGCCATATCGCATGTCTGTCTCTGTCTGTTTTCGACATAGAACTTTGCACATATGTGCGGCAGTTCAAGTCGCCACACTCCATGTAGCACACAAAGCAAAAGAAGAAAGTAGGAGAAATGCATGATATAGACAGTAAACAGAGGTGTGAGACAAAGGAATAGTAATAACGGAGAACAAAACAGTTTAACTGGAAATTATAAGTCACAAGGAGTGGATGCATCTGCGCCATTGAGAACGATTTTGAGCCATGTCACCAATTGTTTCCAACCATTGGTTTTTACCGTCCTGAGGACCCCAACCAGGAAGTCTACACTTTCCTACGTAGCCTAGACTAACTGTTGTAAATTTCATTGACTGGTGCCATGTTTTGGTTTGACCGTGGCTAGGTCTTTTCCAGCCTGGCCCTATATCAGCTAACATTGCCCATTGTCGAGGAAGGCGATGCCTAGGCATACACATGTCCTAACCATCTCAGTCGATGTAATTTCACAGTCTCGTCGACTGATTTCCCCTCCTTACCTAGCACTCGACGCCATATCGCATACCATTATATAGATAGATTTCCAATAAGAACATTAAAGTCTAGACAGTTGCAATGTTTACCATTTGACAAATTATACGTGTACATAATTTGGCCCTGTATAGAGCCACTTGTGGTATGTATAGATTAGTAAGATAGTCGTCTACCTTCTACCACAATGCCTAAACTCCACTTTCACTCCTGAAAGTTTATCTAGGCCTTGTTTACAATTCTCTGGAGCACCAACAGTTTTCATTCGCAATATCTACTTTTTAATCCAGTACTCTTCTGTAAGCCACTAGTGTATTTTGAATCATTTTGCTGTTGTTGTTTTTTTTCCAGCGTGCTGAAGATTTAGCTCGTCGTCAGATTAAATCATCTCCTGGAGATGTAGACCGTTGGCTTTCTCTCATTAAAGTACGTTTTCGAGCTGCAAATGTTGAGGCTGCTAGAGAAGCACAACGAAACGCAGCATCAGTATTGAAAGCATCACTTCTTCCACAACTAGCAGTTGGGTAGGTTATTTTCCTTATTAAATTTCTTGTAGCACTTAATTATTTTTTTTGTAAAATTTAATAGATATACATCATACAGTATACAGTGAAGAGTTTTTAATTGACATTAGGAAGTGAAATCAAGGTTATTAACAAAACAAACAAAAAGATGTCCTGCTTGGTTCTCTTAGACTTGGGCAGATTGCAAGTTCCACGAAACAAAACAAATCAGTTCCTGATTTTCTTTTTAAATTATCATCACTTAGCATGTGATTCAGGACTCAAAGTTCAAATGCTGTATGATATATCACTATCTATACTCCAGTAAACTTGTAGCTGATGTTATAGTGTTTTGAGTTAATGTGGAGAAGTGGCTCATTTACTTAAGTACTCAACTTTCAGCCAGTGGTTTTTGAATTCGAATCCCTTTCCTCTTACTACTGTCTAAACAACCGAGTGATATCATCAGCCCTGACTGACTGGCTTCAACGTAGAACTTTGCACGGATGTGCAGCAGTTCAACTTGCCACACTCCCTCCATGTAGCACACAAAGCAAGAGAAGAGAGTAAGGAGAGATTCAAAAGAGGGATAATAAACAGAAATATGAGGCAAAAAGAATAGTAATATGGAAGAAAAATAAAATCTTATTGGATACGATACATCACAAGGAGTGAACGCATCTGCGCCATTGAGAACGATTTTGAGCCATGTCACCAATTGTCTCCAGTCACTGGTTCTTACCGTTCTGAGGACACCAACCAGTCGGAAAGTCTTAATCATCTCAATCGATGTGACTTCACAACCTCATCGACTGATTTTCTATCGTTACTTAGAACTTGACCAATGCCTAACTTCAATATCGATCACCTTATTATACCAATCAACATGGGAGATAGAACGCAGGCACCTATAATCAAAGAAAGCTAGCCGGCCTTTTCATGTCTTCCACTTTCAATGGCCATGTCTCACCAACAGCGATGAAGTAGGACAAAGCGGACTGCTGAGTAGTACACACGCCTTTTGGTCGATAGCCAGATATCACGTCTACTCCAGAGACAGCGTAAACTGCCATATGCGAACCGAGCCTTCTGTATCCTTGCTGAGATTTCATCAGTGATCAACCCGTTGGCGTTGTCTGATGCGATTTCCCAAATAAGTCAAGTGGTGGTCTACACGCTCTACCACTTCACTCCCTATTTCTAAGCTAGGAGTCGATATAGTCCAGGCCTGTAGCATCATCTTACATGTTTCAGGAGCGAATCGCTTGCCAAACATTGGAAAATTTCTGCTCAAGGTGTTCAGAAGACTCTGCATTTAGTCATCGTCCTCACCTAGGAGGAAGGACTATATCATCTGCATATTCTAAGTCAACGAGACTATTATTCCCTGGTAACAAGTCAATCCGTGAGTCGCTGATGTCAGTTAGGGTTACTTCCATTAGTACATCTATGATGAAATTGAATAGAAATGGGGATATTGAGTGGGCATGCCTGTCGGCAACCACTGTTTGTCACTAGTTCAGATGACAACTCGCCGTATTCTCTCACCTGGCTGGCTGCATGAGTTCGAGTAGAGTGCCTTGATCAGTGCAATGTATTTTCTCGGCGTTCCTAATTACAAAAAATATATACCAGAACTATCATTCTGATGTCATTAGGTATCTATCTTCTCCATGAGAAGTGAATTCAGTATACATTGCATTACAATTCACTAATATGTCCATTTTCCCTTTCTTGCCTGTATTCTTCCAGTGTGGCTAGAATAGAATTTGAATTCGGAGATGTTGATCGTGGTATTCGTTTGCTACAAGAACAATTAAATGTTCACCCAAAACGTAAACAATTATATGAAGAGTGTATTAAACTCTTGATGGTGAATGGTAAACTAAAAGAAGCCAGGTAAATCTCGACATATATATATAGTTTATTGGTACAACTATATTTTTAAATTATAATAATTGCTTTCAGTCAGATAAAGGCATCCAGTTAGTTCATCTACATTGGGGTTGTGTTTTACTAAGATAATCCTTAATTTATGTTACTTTAACTTCTATTCATCAGGCAGTGTAGTCAGAAATTCCATTAATTTCAATATACGAAATCTGCATGATAGCTTATTAGTTAATACCCCCCAACAGATGGGTATAAACAGCATATATGTTCTCAATATCTTATTTGACCCTATAGTTGCTAGATATTTGCTTTATTGTATTCGCCACCTCCAGTTGTTAGTGAACCGGCTGTATTCCTAATCCCAGTGACTGGTTTCATGGATAGACAGTGTTCGATGATATTCTGAAATTCAACAATAAACACATGCTAAAAGAAAACTAATAAGATTCGCACCTCAGGTTGTTTCCATGTTGTTTCTCAGTTTGACAGTACTTTTTGTATAATACTTTTTTTAAAACCCTCTACACTAATCGATCATTTCTGTATATAAAAGTTATTGATGTAGCAGTCTCATCGAAATAAGTAATACCAACTTTTGTCCTGTACAAACCTGTTGTGTGATTGCACACAAGTACATACATCGAAATGTCAGAGATTTGATTCTTCAAAACTACTGGTCCTACTAGGGACCTATCCGAACACGATCTTTTTATCTTCCATTTACCTGTTTGGACCCGACCTACTGGCTTCATCTCAGAGTGCTTTGTAAATGCAAGTGTTTCGTCCAATTGGGTTGATGGGGTCCTTTATAACTGAGTAATTTCAATCTTCTCAGGAATCCAACATGTGGTTTCTGATTTTCCTTCCTTTTATAGTGGTACTATGATGGCTTTGAATCCCTTATGAGTTGTATTTTGATCATTATTTACACTTATTACTTCTATTTTTGTTATTATTCTTCCCAAATTTTGCTTGAATGCTAGTCATTATTAACACCTGTGATCAGTTTACTGTATTTTTCAATTTTCTGCAGTTGAAGCATTTTATTGCTATTGTAATATGTGACTACCAACCGCAGAGTCACGAGTTTGAACTTCCCTCCGCCTACCATGGTTTAGGCAGCCAGGTAGTATCACTAGTCCTCACATAATGGGTGTGGTTCATTACCAACTTCATGGAATTGCAAGTGGTGTTTGTTGAGTGAAATTTCATTCTCGTTTCATCTCAGTAAAGACTGACAGTGCCTTCCGGATAAGTTATTAGAAATACAAAAAGAACTAGTGCTTATATCTAATCGACTAATGGGAATAATAAATGTGTAATGGGAAATTTGATTGACAATCTGATGATTGTCAGTTTTTATTTCACTACTTTTGAGTCTAATTTTGTATTTATTTATTTGTTTATCTTTTGTTCCTCTGTTTCCAGACTTATTCAACAACAAGCAGAGAAACATTTGAAGCCTGCACAGTGTACATCAATAAATGCACTTTTTGAAGATAAAATTAAACATTGAATCAGTACATGTTTTTCAGATCTCAGTGGTTTTGCTACTCTTCTCTTTTCTTCATTTTACGACAATATAGTCGATAAAAATTGTGTATAAATTGAGATGTGTTTTTCTCTTTTTCACTGAATAAAGATTATTGTAAATTGTAAGTCATCTTCTACATATTGTACTTTTTTACATCGGATTGGGTGGGTAATTCTTAACTCTTTTGTGCGTGTTCATGTGCTCAGTACCTGTAATAAGTAGTGCAACACGTTCAAGGGTTAGAAGAAACCATTATTTTACCGAGAAATTAAATGTTAAAAGTCTTTGAGTTGATTTCCACTGTAGTAGTGTGGTAAGAGCTGTCTGCAAGCCAAAATTGTAGACAACAATTTACGTCAATATTTACGTCCCGAATCGAGGTCATGAGAAAAAACAATAACAAAGCTTAACCTTGAGGAACTCACCAACCAATCACAGCAGACTTAACGTGTGCAAATACGATTCGCAGATATATGGCTTAACTTTCTAAGAAACGGTCACAAGCAGTACAGAATAACCTTCAGCAAGAAAACAACCAATCAGAAGACGTTGCTTCTCTGCTAATAATAACATACCTAAAAATCTATAAATATCACTTGATTTTCTCAATAAAGGATCTGTTGCCTGGCCCTTGTCTTCTGTCGTTACAGTAGGACAACCGTTGTGAATTTACAAGTTCCTGTAACCCCTGAGACTCAGACCATGACTTCTAGTTTTCTTCACCTGATATAGAATTCTACTTTTTGATGTTTCCAATCGACCAGTCTTAGATTTGTGTTTAGACAACACACATCGAACTTGAAAGTAGTTTGATATAGCTATTGTAGCTTTCATACAGTAAACTGTGCTGATTACGAATATTGCGCATTCACAGTAAGATTGTTTTGATGTCTATCGAGTGAGATATGTGCAGTGTATACTTATCGGGTAGGTAATAATGATTTGTGATTCTTTTACAGTGAAAAATTAATTTCATGCATATTGTTACATAGAAAGCTAAATGAGGAAAAGCAGTTTAGCAATAATGTTAAGTAATGTGACATTATCTCGTCAAACTAGCAAGACACCGACGATTCAAGTTGGGGTGGAATTATTATTTCATGTAATTATGCTGCGTATTAGCAAGGAGAAAAGCCAGAAGCAATATGATAAGTACCACTTGTGATAGGAAAACTTGTAACGAGAAAAAATGTTGCGGAATAAGATCTTATGAAAGTATGGAATATGGAGTTAATAACCTCGAAATACTCAAAAAATAGCAAATTGTACACAGTTGGCATAACTTCTTTCTAGTTGTATTTTAAATCATTAAACATTAGGTCACATATCCCGGTCATTTTCATTCTATGAAAATGATATGCAACTTCTCGACTAGTGCACCGCCACTTAGGTGTTTATCATAATATTATTGAGAATTTCAGATGAACCATATGAAAGAGTGACATGTTTTTTTTCGTGAATAATCAACTTTGAAGTGTTGGATAGTGTAGATTTTGTTACAAACCGATGTCTGATAGAAAACCACGGAGCACACTGGATAATTGTTTCGTCCTAGTTTGGGACTCTTCGGCTTTACATATACACATTTGCATCATGAACTGCAGATTGGTCATTCACCTACTAAACTGACCTATCCACTGATTGGATAATTTCACGTTGGTTTTCATGAGAATGAACAAACCAGTCATCGCAACCTTTGTAAGTCATACAGTCTGATCCCTTGATGCAACCATGCGGGTGGCAACTATCGTTGGTAAACCAATTCACTGGATTAAATACCTATTAATTGGATGCTCGCTGTTATTAAATGGTTCGTTGTTTGATGTCGGTTCATGAAGAAATCTGCTACGGGATAATTAGTTCATTGCTGCATAATACCACATGAGCAACATGCTGTTAAAAGAGATAGAAACACTAAGGATGCGTTTCATTTCTCAAACCTAAGATGAATTCTTGTATTTCATTTTCCTTCAACTTTATTTATTAGATTATTTGTTCTTGTAATGCTTTGTTGCAAATGGGGCAATACTGATTAAATATTTATAAGGAATACTTGGCATTTAGATAGATTTTATACCCTTGGAAGGCAGTTGCACTGCTGTAAGTTACTGCAATACTACTAGGAAATCTTTCATCCGATGTATTTAAGTTGATTCCTCTTACGTTTGCCTTCTGATACTTTGCCCAGCTTCTCAAAGTGGAGCACTCATCTGTCGTAAGAAAACCCATTTTTGAATTTTGTAGCACAAGCAATAGAACTACCTCTGGAGCTTCATTTCTTTGGTTATACTGGTAGCCGAAATAAGTTATCGCCTGAAAAACACGGAACTAAGGTTATCCTAATTTGATAGACATCTCACCTTGAAAATTTCCAAGTGGCTGTATTAGCATGACCATAGGAGGTTGTGGAGTAGAAGATTGGGCCTCACTTAAACTCGACAAAACATATTCGATAGCATTGTAACTGATTTTAACGAGTACATAGTTTCAGATCAACACTTGAATGTTTTGTTTCTACTGTCGTCATATTTCTTTTCCTACGAAATAAAAGCTTTACTGTGGATTTGTTATGCAATAGGGTAAACTGTATGATGAAATTTCTTGTTTTGTTAACTAGATAAAAAGAGTATCTCATAATTCTTTGCATCAGTATAGTATTGTATAAATGCAATGTTCATTACTCTGACTACCGTATAAAAGAGGCAAACGAACTGTTCAATTACGAGATGTTACGAATTTCCTGAAACAATTTGAGCGCCGAGTCAGATTGAATCATTATAAATTATTCCCTAATTCATTGGTTCAACTAAACTCTCATTCTGAATGGCATAACATTATTTTGAATGAATCAAATTGACTCAAGGTTTCCAGTATTTATCAATTAAATGTCTTCTTTGTTTACGCTTATTTGAATGATAATATGTTTCACTCCTAATTGTTCCTCCTCTCATCATATATATATATACCCTTGGGTTCCGAGTGGAACAGGGCTTCAAAAACATATCTCCATTTTGTTCTATTTTCTGCTATCCTCTTTAGCTGGGCCCACGATTGCCCCTACTCTCTCATCTGCTCGCATGATTTTACCCATGTCATCCTCAGACGACCCACTGGTCGTTTCCCCTTCGGGTTCCACTCGAGTTATGGCCTGGCGCGCGATGTCATTCGATGGTCTTCTTAGCGTATGCCCAACCAATGATGAGTTTTCTCCCCATCTCGTCTGCTCCTAGTTTGGTATTCATATCGCCCATAAGGATTTTGATGTCGCCATTTGGGGTGTTGTCCATTACTGTTTGTAGTTGTCTATAAAAGTCTTCCTTCTTCTCTTGTTCCGAGTTGTTTGTAGCATTGGATAATTGTAACCTTTCTCCCTTCCTTTTGAGTTGAATCTCGCTGCCATAATTCTGGAGGATGATACTGGCTCTCACTGTATTAGAGCTTTGGCTGCCACTGGTGACATCATGATAGTCACTAACTGCCTCAATGTGCTCGTGGTTGTCGTCTGGGTGACCAGACCGGAGTAGATTACTGACTCTCCAGTTGACAATTTGGCTAGTCCACATCCATTCCATTTGCTGTCAAAGATTCTGAGCACTTTTATACCATGTCTTCTCATTTCTTTGGCTACCTAGGCAGCCTTGCCAGCTACGCACATTCCACGTCCCCATTCTTACTCTTGCTTTCATCGAAAGATATATATATATATATAACAGGGCTAAACACAATTGAATTATAAACTCAGTTGTTTCTTATTTCTCTGTGTGGTAGCGGTTCTCAAAGTAGACGAGTTATTTTAGAAAAGATGAATGCTGGTTTTGCAGTAATAATGTGAGCAGCAACATCTACTGATCAACAGGTAAATCAGCTTACAAGTGTGACATATTAAAGGTCCTAAGTTAAAAATCCGTTAGAGGTTATTGGTTGGGACATCCCTAGCAAAACCGACAATTCTTTGAATCATAGTGTTTAAACTTCTTGAGGGGGAATTACTGAGGGCTTGATTATGAAGTTTGAAAGATCTGTAAAAGATAAGCAGGGTTGTCTCAGAGTGTAACAGCACTGTACAGCCACTTGAAAATTACCTTCATGGCCACTGAAAATTTTGTCATTTATGGTTGCCGTTAGATCTTTTGAAACTTAAACTTCCTGAGTCTAAATCGAGTGGTTCTCGTTGACAGAATGCGAAAAACTATTGTTTATACAGCTTTATGCCAGGGTGAAGGTTATAGCTGAATACTGCCTACTCTCATTTCTTATTCGTCAACTTTTCGTATAATCGGAGTGAAGTCAAATCGAAACTTACAAGTGAAACGTGGTTTCTGGCACCTTTTAAGATGACTTCAGATATGAAGTCTAGAATTAAGGTCACCTTAAGCAACACATGCACTCATACACAAAATACTTCATAATATAATATCACAAAATGGAAGTCTTAAAATCCGATACGCCAAGGTGGAGATATGAATTGATAAGGGGAGCTTCGGAGACTGAACCAAAGGAGAATACTTACAATAGGAGTTATCTGGTAAATTCTACTACCATTGTAATACTCACAAGAGAAGAATTAAAACTGTAGAGACCAAGTTTCAAGGTTGAGGAGTTACATATGATATGATTATAAGCATCGAATTGTGTTTGAAACGTCATCCAGTAAACAATGTAGCTTATCTGGAAGGCAAACTAGCATGAGATTACATAATATCACGGTGACCAAGTTTTACATATTTATTAAAATGTCATGTTCTGGAGGAACCAGAACTGTGCATACAAAAGAAAATTATTCAACCACTTCTCCTCTCATGGTAACAACTCTGTTAATTTGACTTAACTTTTGTTTGTTTGATTTGACTTAACTTTTGTTTGTATGCTTATTTTTCTACTTAAAACCCTAGTGTAATTCCGTATATTTTGTTTCCATGTACACCCTGAGTACAACTCTTTCATCAAACTATTCATGTTAACAGTTGTTTGTGACAACTCTTCACTTTTGTTACTACCCTCTTATATCAACATCCAATTCATCTGGACTTACTAATTGTATTTTCGTTTGACAAATTTAATGTACATACACATACAAAACAACCATATATGTTTGCGATTGTACAGCTATGAAAATGA